GTCAACTTTGCTAACTAGAAGTTAAGACTACAACACTGAATAGTCACCTTTAATAACTGGAAGTTAAAGCTACATAGCTGCAGTCAACATTTTTAACTGGAAGTTAATGTGAGCTCTAAAATATATATACATATATACCCAAGTACTATATATGCCAATACTTTTCCTAGTGGGTTTATACCTGAATCTTAAATCAGAAGTGGAGCATTCAGCTTAGGTTTTCAAATTTACATATTTGAAGTCCTGGGCTCAAACTCACTCTAAAATACCTTTGAAATTTTCAATTTATTTTTTTCAAGTCAATAATATAATATGATATATATATAATAATAATATAATATATATATAGAATAATATAATATATATATATATATTCTGATTCTTGGTTCTCGACAATTTTTAGCCTTATCAATAAAATATTTCTAGAGTTTTCAAGGAGTTGCACTTGGCAGCTAGCGTTGAAGTGGATGCTACAAGTAGCATAGCTACTTACATAGAAGGTTATATCATGTTGTAACAAAATAAATTTGAAATGTTTCTAAATTTGAAGTTGAAAGCTAAAAGAATTCTGGTATATTCCAAAGTAGTTTATGCTTTGCTGTTGGACACGCTGGAAAGGTGGCAAGTGATTAGCTGGCCTGGGGCAACCAGACGCTGTCATAAAACCCATTTCGCTATGAACATTAACAAGCCCTTGACGTTCTACTGAGTCACAGCGAGCAGAGAAAACCTGACCTAACCCTAGACTCAAGCCTCGAGACTCGTAAACTCTGTTGGCCATGTGAAAATTCTTGGTAAACGGGCTCCGAAATGCGTTATTTGTTTTATTATTTGCTTTCCATTTCCACTGGCATTTTCATTTTATTTTCATTTTCACACTTACCATTTTCAGTGTCGGCGCAGCAAATGCATACAAGATTTCCCAGGAAAAGTCTGAAGTACGAGCTCTGTGTGTTTTTCTTTATGTTTTACTCGCCGTCCAGTCTGTACGTTGATTGATTGATTGATCCTGCGCGCAGGACAACAGGTAAAAATAACACTCGTTTTTGTTTTTCTTATTTATTTCTATATATCTAACGCTCACTTTGATGCTTGCAATGATAGCACTTGAAAAAAAAAAACTAAGAAAATATATATAAAATCGATTTTAGTAAATTTTTTTTGCACTCGTTTTTGGATTTGTTTTTTTAGCACTTTTTGTTTTTTTTTTTGTTTTTTTTTTTTTGACAATTCGGCACGGATGAGGCTCGATGATGTGCACCCACGTATCTCGTATCTCGTTTATCGTATATGTTTTGCTAGCCAAGCGATCGTTGCCAGAGACAAAAACTAACTGCACATGCGCGCAGGCGCCCACAAACTGAGCCGCGCTCGTGGAAAATGCGGCAGGTAAAGCAACAAAGCGACGCGTCGCAACGTGAGATCGACGCGCACAGCGAAAGAGAAAGAGTGCGACAGAGAGAGAAGGAGAGAGAGAGCGACAGAGTCGCATTGTGCATGTCTCTCCAGACTGTCTCTAGCGCTACGTGAGCGCTCGCGGGCGGTTTTCGCTCAAAGGCAACATGCAAAATGTTGCAAATAAATGTGACAACGGCCGCGCGTGTAGCCAAAGCTAAAAACTGGAATTGAGATCGAGAAACTGAAAATGAAACTGAAAGTGAAACTAAAACTGAGCCACTAAGGCACTGAGACATCCTTGTTGTAGCTGTGCTTCACAGCAAAGTTGCCCAAATTCAATTAGAAATTCAAAATTGATTTTGCTTCTTTTTCATTTGAATTAATTTTTTTCTTTTAATTAATTAGCTCGAACTATAGATAAAAGCTTGCAGAAATATTCAGACTTGACTAGACGAAGACGAGCAAGGAAACAATCAACTCTTACAAGGGTTTCTCATATTAGACAACTCAAAGAGCCTCTTACCATGCCAGAGCTTCCTCGAGTTAGATCGTTGGCCAACTGCAACTGGGGCTCATTGCCTTTAAAAATGAATACAAATTGCTGTCAGCTTCAGTTAGCAGTCAGCAATTTTCATAATATGATTTGTTGACCAGTGTAATTGTAAGAGGAAAGTCACTAAGGTAAACTAAAGCTTTACGCTCGTTGAATTCACAGTTTTTCCTTAGCTACATATGCCTAACATGAGCCAGTGGAAGTGTCCTACATGTCATGCTTAATTTTGTATTAAGTTTTCTGATGACAGTATCAGTACAGTACAGCACAGCACAGACAGTTAGATCAAAGAACATATCTCAATTTACTATTAGCTTGCTCAATGGGAATGGTAGATACTAGTTTAATGCCATTTTTAAAGGTGACAGGTGGTAATGCTTGGCAACAGGCACAGAGTATATATATTCATGAGCAGGGCCAACAGCTAGAAGTCTAAAATGACTGGATTAGCAACTATGCGCAGAGTTCAGGGTATATGCTAGTCGGGCACTTCCGCCAAGAACACTCTTATTTGTGTTCTTAGAGTTTTGACTTTGGAAGCATATATGGGCTGAACAACATTTTGTCAATTATTCAGATTTTATCACTTCTTTGAGAGCACAAGGTATAGAAGACATTGATGAAGCGCTGACTTCCGTTGCGCAAGCCTCGAATCTGTCGCCCATCATTGGGCAACTCTGTGATGTCTCTGACAAGTTGAAATTAAAGAACAGCAACTTGAAATGGAAGCCTAGTTTTATACTCGCCCATCAAGTGAAAAGAGTATATCGAATTTGTGGCAAGCACGCCTTATTGAGGCGGGAGACTTGTTCTTCTCGCTATGCTAGCCGAAGTGAGAACTTCAACGAGCCGCGCATTGATCTCGCCGAAATGCTCCAAGTAAATGGAGTGCAAATTTCTTTTTAAACAAACGCCCGGAATTGTTGTCGATTTCGCTTGCTCGCATAAGCTCGGACAACATTTGAATGCTGATCTTTCTTCTTCTTGGCCAGCTTGATGCTTGGGCAACAGCGGCGACAAGATGAACATAATGTGTAAATGCGCAAATTACATAAGCACTGCGAGAGTGAGCCACATTCAAATAAAGATACAATTGTATCTGGCCATTTATCTTGAACTGAGCATTTTGGGCGCAGTTTGTGTGCCCCCTAAAAATGAAGAAAAAAACCCAGAAATAATAATAATAAAAGAAAGGTTCGCACGAAATGTTTGTGATTTGTTTAGTGTTGTTTACTTGTTTGCTGGGTCAGCGACGCAACACCTGCCCAGAAGAAAGCGAGTGAGAAACAAGTCTCATCACTGTTAGGCACAGAGTCGCATCAGCAGCAACTGCAGCAGTTAGCTAGTTGTTGTTGTTGTTGTTAATGTTGTTAATAATGGCCAAGCGCTAGATTTGAGCCATGCCCATGTGTGTGAGCATCGTTTAGGGCCAAATGGCACAGTGTCAGCCAGCGTGTTGCACGTAGCTCGTCTCATTTTGTTGGCGGCGCTGCTCTAACGCTTATCATCAGCATGAGCTTGGCAGCCCGGCTGCGACTGCTACGTGCCTGGACTGCGGCCAATGCAAAAGTGCCGGAATAATTTTTGCATTTGAAGCCGACTGCCAGCTGCCAAGTGACGACTGCCGGCTGGGATTGACGTGGATAAAGTCTAACTCGGCCTGCTTTAATTGTCGCCAGCGTTGGAAATCATTTTAACGAGTTACGCGCATGCGCAATTGTCCAACCAAGCGACGGTTCCCGCTTCGTCTTCATCTTCCCTCTACCCTCCCCCCCCTCTGGCTCTTGCCTTATGCAATAGTCGTAGCGCCGACGACTTTCACTCATTTGAGAATTCATCGAGTTGTGGCCGCCGTGCGATTTACTTGCATATTTATTATACTCATTGCAGATTCCAGCTTCCTGCCCCAACAATGCCCGTGGCGTGCTGCGAAACGTATTTTTATTATATTTTTTGAATGACTGTTCTATCGTAGCCACATTGGAGATAATGTACTACGTCTACCCACAATCAGCCCCACCCAGGGGAAAGCATTGCCCAGTCAAGATTAGAATTCCCCTTATGCGCAATTATCTGTAGCGCTATGCTCTTTTTTCGGTAGAGTATCATGGCTTTTGCTATCAAGTATGCAACGCATATAGCATAAATCTAAAGCAGATCTTAGTCAAAGGATCATATAACGTTCATTAGAAAGATTTATTTTAAATTAAAAGTTAAGATATTTTAAAATAAAACAAGCAGCTGTGCTCTAGGCGGGCGTGCCTGACTAGTATATACCCTGCTACACACACACACGCTCTTCGCTTGAGCAACACTTTAAATGATCGATTCTTATCGATTATTATAAGTTATCGACTAAAAATAAAAAGCTTCTACTGCATATGCTGTGCAGAAATAAACATATAAAATCTCTAGACTCGAACCGAACGAAATCTCTGAGTTCTATCGACTCGGGTCCAGACATTTCACATTTTAATTTTCAATGAGTTCCATCTTCGCCTCAATTCAATGGAAATGTTTATCAAGCTGTATGATAAATCAGGTGTTACAAAGAGCTGACAAACCAAGTGGAATTAAGGCAGACAACAGCTAGCAGCTGTTGCCCAGAAACTCGCGTTATGCAGATACAGCTAGAGATAAGAGCGGCTTATAGATGACAGTGTTTTATTTATCGTAGGACCAATAAACTCATGTTCTGCTAACACAGGTTCGAACGCCAACGTGGCGTTCCAGTAGCCGTCATTTCGCCTTCAAATGAAGCACTTAAACAGCGACAGACCTCATCGAGTGCCATCGATTAGATATGGAAGACAGCCAATGAGGCGCAGTTTGGAAATTAAAACGTATTCTTATCGCCGTCACTTGAGTATTTCCTATTAAAAGCGAATTGTTTTCTGATTTGGCATATCTTCTCTCCAATCAATTAATATCAATTAGACCACAATTTATTCATTTCAACAAAAAAAAAAAAACAAAAAAAATTCCACATGGATTGAAAAAAAAAAATGTTGCTAAATTTATGCATTTCTTAATAGTACACAGAGTGGGATATTTATTTCATCTGTCAAATTGCTCACTTACTTCTCAAGGATTGGTGCAGTCAAAGTCTAGAATACAAAATCTCTTCTGCGGATGGAACTGCATTCCTTCGGGGCACGACTTTACTATCGGGTGTATATCGCCCTCATCGTCCTCATAGCACAAAACGAATTGGCTACAATTTCCATTTTTGGGCATGAATCCAGTTGTTGCGCAATTTATGTCAGGGTCTGGGGTGGTCGGCCCGCTGGGTCCGGGAGCGTCAGTAGGACCACTGGGTCCGGGAGCATCAGTGGGACCGCTGGGTCCGGGGGCATCTGTGGGACCGCTGGGTCCAGGGGCATCAGTGGGACCGCTGGTTCCGGGAGCATCAGTGGGACCGCTAGGTCCGGGAGCGTCAGTGGGACCGCTGGGTCCGGGAGCATCAGTGGGACCGCTGGGTCCGGGAGCGTCAGTGGGACCGCTAGGTCCGGGAGCGTCAGTGGGACCGCTAGGTCCGGGAGCGTCAGTGGGACCACTGGGTCCGGGGGCATCAGTGGGACCGCTAGGTCCGGGAGCGTCAGTGGGACCGCTAGGTCCGGGAGCGTCAGTGGGACCACTGGGTCCGGGGGCATCAGTGGGACCGCTAGGTGTGGGAGCATCAGTGGGACCGCTAGGTCCGGGAGCGTCAGTGGGACCACTGGGTCCGGGGGCATCAGTGGGACCGCTAGGTCCGGGAGCGTCAGTGGGACCGCTAGGTCCGGGAGCGTCAGTGGGACCACTGGGTCCGGGAGCATCAGTGGGACCGCTAGGTCCGGGAGCGTCAGTGGGACCGCTAGGCTCGGGAGCATCAGTGGGACCGCTGGTTCCGGGAGCTTCAGTGGGACCGCTAGGTGCGGGAGCATCAGTGGGACCGCTGGGTTCGGGAGCATCAGTGGGACCGCTGGTTCCGGGAGCTTCAGTGGGACCGCTAGGTGCGGGAGCATCAGTGGGACCGCTAGGTGCGGGAGCATCAGTGGGACCGCTGGTTCCGGGAGCTTCAGTGGGACCGCTAGGTGCGGGAGCATCAGTGGGACCGCTAGGTTCGGGAGCATCAGTGGGACCGCTGGTTCCGGGAGCTTCAGTGGGATCGCTAGGTTCGGGAGCATCAGTGGGACCGCTGGGTCCGGGAGCTTCAGTGGGACCGCTAGGTGCGGGAGCTTCAGTGGGACTTGGTGGTACGACCTCAGAAGTACTCTCATCTAAATTTCCTGGTGGTATTGTGGGGTTCTCAATGTCGCTGCCATCAGCTGGGACTGCATCCCGCTGCATATAAATGCACTTAGCCTGTTCCGAGTCGAAAACCATATTGTCCTGGCACCTCAGGTGTCTGAGTGTATAGCCACCATTTGGCGCTGGATCGCAGGCAAAAAACTCATGAGAATTATCCCCGTCGGAAAAGAAGCCCGAGCCACTGCAAGGATGGCTGTATCCGGCGTGGACAGCGCCAAGCAGCACGAGGCAGGTGGCGCCTAGTGCCAAATGAAGGTTAAGCATATTCGGGGTTTGCTGTTCAATTAGTTGCTCTGATAGTAATATCTATTGCGATTCGTTACTTGTTTCGACAGACTAACTGGATGGGCTCTAGGCTCGAGTCTTTTATAGTCGGCCATAAACCAGTTCTTGACAATCATTAAGATTGCGTCCGATTAGCTGATAAACGAACCGTTTCTGCCGCTCTTTGTTGACCAAAGGCATTTCAAACGGTTTATTAAAGAACTTTTGTCTTTATTCATGCAAAACAGGAAAAAAAAATAGTGAAATTAAGAACCATAACTTAATGGGGCTATGCTATACACCAACATAGATTAGAACGGGATTTCGGGGTTACTGGGCTCCATTAGACTTCGATGCTGGGCAGTTCGGGGGACTCGGCGCTTTCAATGGACAGAGGCTTCTTGGCCTTGGCCTCTTGCTTGGCCTTCTCCTTGGCCGCCTTTTTGGCCAGCTTCTCCTCCAGCTTTTGTTGCTTGAGAATCTGTTTCTCTTTGATCTTTTCGGCCTTCTGGCGCAACTTCTCCTCGGTCTTCAGCTGCTTCTGTTCCTGTTTGATGGCCGCTAAGTCCTCAGATTCAAACGCCTGTCCAGGCTGGAATTGGGTCCAATCATAACGCCAGCAGCGACCCATCAATGGCTCGAAACGCTGGCCAGGCGAGCAGCGCACAATATACTTATGATAGCCACCGCGTATGCTCAACACACAGTTGTAATAGAAGCTGGAGTCGCTGCCTGCAAAGCGTCCGGGAGCGGAGCAAACGAATCCATCACTGTCGCACGCCGCCACATCACGCACGCATCGGCCGTAGATGGGCGAGAAAGCCATCAGTGGCGGGCATACCAGGTCAAAGGCCGTCAGCTCACCGAAAGGACCGGTCTGAATGCATTTGTGGAAGCGCTGACAGTCACCGCTGTTATGGGCGAATACACCAGGTTTCTCGCACTGGAATGCGGGAGGTGCCGATGGCGTTGGTGCAATGGGACTTGAAGTGGACGGCTGTTCGCTGGGGCTGCCAGAGGATTGCTCCTCAGTAGGACTTGAAGTGGATGGCTGTTCGCTGGGGCTGACAGAGGACTGCTCCACGTTAGGGCTACCGGTAGATGGCTGTTCGCTAGGACTGCCAGTGGGTTGTTGTTCGCTGGGGCTACCGGTAGATGGCTGTTCGCTAGGACTGCCGGTAGATGGCTCTTCGCTAGGGCTACCAGTTGATGGCTCTTCGCTAGGACTGCCAGTGGGTTGTTGTTCGCTGGGGCTACCGGTAGATGGCTGTTCGCTGGGGCTACCGGTAGATGGCTGTTCGCTAGGACTGCCGGTAGATGGCTCTTCGCTAGGGCTACCAGTTGATGGCTCTTCGCTAGGACTGCCAGTGGGCTGCTGTTCGCTGGGGCTGCTGGAAGACTGCTCCACACTTGGTGCTGAAGTGGAGGGCTCTGCACTGGGGCTATCAGTTGGCTGCTGTTCGCTGGGAGCTGATGTAGATGGCTCCTCATTGGGTGCGACCGTGGTCTCTGGCTCCGGTTCGTTAGGACTCAGCGTGGTTTCCGCATCCACAGCAGCAGTAGTTGTCTCCGATGGTGTTTCATCAGCAATTGTTGTCGTGTCCACCTCTTCTATGGCATTCGTTGTCAGTTCCTCCTGCACAGTTGATTCTTCCGGCTGTGGTGTGCTGGTGATCGTCACCTCCCAGCCACTGCCTTCTGCAGCTGTTGTTGTTTCGCTCCAGGCCAAATCGCCGCTGCCAGCGCCACTGAGCGCCTGAGCGCCGCAGGACTTGGTCATCAGCTGTAATTAAGGCAGAGTCGTTGGTAAGATATTCACATCTGGAGCCAGATGGCACTTACCAGGGCTGCGCAGAGCAGCAGCACAGAGAACAATCCACGTCTCGCTGTCATCGTTGTTCTGGGTGTTGTTCTGGTTGTCGTCGTCATCGTGTTGCCTATGGCTAACTTCGGTCGATCGTTGTATGAGCCACTTGTGTTACCCTCACTCTATTTTATAGCAGAATCTCGTCGCCGGATGCTGGGGCTTATCAAACCCAGCGCCTAATTACGATTGGCCCTATCTCCAGCTCCAGGCTGACTTTAGTATATAGCGCAAATAAAAGATGTTGCTTTAACGTCACCACCAACCACCGCAAAATACAGTTGTAAACCCATAAAGTCAGCTGTGCGAATAGGCAGTTGCCACGCCCAGTGCGCCGCTCTGTCCGCGGATGTGAAACGGAAGTGTGTAAAGATATTGTCGTGATAAGCGCGTTGGGAGGTCAAGCTGTGCCCCTCTCTCCCAGTTGTCCCGATCGGACTCAAACAGCAACCACCCACCCAGCTGTCACCCTTATTTATTGGCCACATGATGAAAACAACAAGTCTGAATCACGACAATTTCATAATTTTATATTTAATAACTAAAACTAACTAAAAACAAAAAAAAAATATTCAAATTGTTTTTAGGCATTTTGCACTAAAAACAATTTGAGAATATTTTTTTTTTTTATTAAATGAATATGAAATGAATATATATATATATATATATATATATATATATATATATATATGTGTAGATTAACTCATTTCTCTAGTCGCTTTAGAGCTTGTTTGTTTCGTTTTATTTCAGGGATTAGTTAGCCAGGGAACTATTTGAAGTATGCTCAAAGTAATACAACGTTTCCCATGAATCATTGAGCAGGGATCATGCAGTAGGCAACATCCACTGATAACGTTTCGTCAATTGTGGTCGCCTCCATTAGGCATTCATCATGGTGTATAGCATAGTATTAGGTCTTTAGCTTAGCAGTACATTCGCCCAGCAAAGCTCAAGGCAGCTAGTTGTCCCTGGGCCTGATCTGAGCATTCAATTGAGTAAAGGTTTTACCCAGCTAATGTGTATCTGTGTGTGTGTGTGTGTGTGTGGATAGTTACACAATTGTTGGCAACGTTGCACTCGAATAGATTAGCTTGCTTCACTCGAAATGGCTCATATTACCGGATCGTATGCTGCGTGTTATCAGAGTGCGATGTCTGATCAGCTGGCGTGTGGTCATAAACATAATCCTCTGCTGGCGTTTCGTTTGGTGGCCGGAGCTGCAGGAAAGCCAACAGCGTCAACAAAGACAAACGTTTTTTCTTCTTTTTTACATATGTATCTGACGTTAATCTCGGCCAGCCACACACACACACACACACACAGTGAGACAGAGACAGACATGCACACACACTCGTCTGTGGGTGTTGGTACGTAGAGATATCTTCAATGTGATAAGCGCGATTATTATCACAATTTTATTTATTTTTTTTTTCGCCATTATCTAAACGGGTTTCGGTTTGGTAAATGATGAATGCCAACGGCTAGACAACGCGCCGCACACAGTACCAGCACACAAATTCCACACGAAAAGCAAACGGTTCGGGATCATCCATAAACCAGACGCAAATCCAAAGGGACAGAAACGATAGGAAAGGGCACGGAAAAACATAAACGGAAACGAGAACGGGAACAGGAAAGGGAACGGGAACGGGAACGGGAACGGGATCGGTGGCGGGCATGACAACAATGCCAATGGCAACAGCGGCAGCGGTACCAGTTGCTGGTGCACCCGTACGTCGTGCCGCTGCCCGCGCCACCGCCGGAGTGCAACGGCGGCGGGTGGTCAAGAAGCACATACAACAGAAGTACATGCTCTGCGGTTTTGCCATACACGTAAATATCAGTTAACTCTCGCTATCTCGCTTTATTGACTTGCACTTGGTTCAACTCTCTACTCCTCTCTCTCTCTCTGTCTCTCTCTCTCTCTCTCTCTCTCTCTTCTAGGCATTTCTGGCAACGCCAGCCTACTTGTATGGCAACGTTGTGGAATCGGACAAGGATCTGGTGCTGCGCATTTGGCCAGCTATCGTCTACCAGGCCACCGGTGAGCTCTGTCGCTCCATTATGGAGCATCTGGACACAGAGTATAGCGGGCGGGCACGCGAAACCGTGCAATACAGACGCATCTTTCTGCTGGCCACATTCATTGCCTGCCTCTCGCTCATGATCAGCGGCATCTTCTTCTCATCCGCCTGGGTGGTGGTCACCACCACCACGCAAACTGTGGCCATTGTCTTCTACGGCTGTTTTGCGGGTAAGTCAATTGCACTTGCCAGCTGCTGGGCGATCCGTTTGATATGTCCAAATGGCCACTAGGTATTGGCGCCAGTCTGTATCAGTGGAAGACGCATGTCATACTGGAGGCAGTGCGTCCGCGCGAGGACAAATACGTGCGCAAGACGATTCATCTGTGCGGTGAAGCCTTCTGCCAGCTGTTCCTGTCGTTTGTCTTCACCAGCCTGCGCACGCTGTATGGCACCGCGCAGTCCATTGTGCTGATGTCGGCAATGCTGGTGAATCTCATACCACTTAGCCTGATCATCACCAAGCATCGCGAGGATGCGTTCACAACCAAACGGATCTCAGTAATCAAGGCGGAGACCGGCTTCGGGGCGCTGCCAATGCGTGCCGCGCTGGCGGCCATCTTTGTGGCGGATCAAATGGATGGCCTCGACACGCCAATGTCCTGGCGCAATCCGGCCACGGAGATGACCAGCACAGCGCCAGCGGCAGCTGTGGCCGCCGCTGTTGTCGACACGCACAGCAACTATATGCTCGCCACGGATGAGGCATACGTCACGTATGTGAATCCGAATGGCGTTGAAATCATGGAGATTATACCCGAAGAGGATGAGACGGTGTCCATAATGCGCTCCAGCAATGCCACCATCGACAACTACAGCATATCTCAGTCGCAAATGCTGCACAAGTCCCATTCGAATGGCCGCCTCTATTCGCAGAGCCCGCTGAATCCCAGTGGCACCGGCAGCTCCTCCCCACTGCCCGAGGCCTATGCGAATTTGGTAAGCACTGAAAATTTGTGGTAGATCTGATCCGATCCGATCTGATCTGATATTTTATTTGTTGGCAGCATCGCATCCGACGTATGTCACGGGCGGTTACATCACACTTGTGGTGGAATCTGTTGGACAAGATTGTGATGCCGCTGCAGCAGGCGCTGCTGGTGCCGCAGCTATATGCCACCACACTGCTCATCTCAGCGGACATCTTTAGCTATGTGATGTGCCTCACTGTGCTGCCGGGCTTAGCTGTCAGCCATCATGCATTGAAGAACGCCGAAATACCATTCCTCTTCTCTCTGCTGGCCTTTCCCTGGATGTGCTTCTCGCTGATGACGCCGCGCTTCGGTTCGAGCCTGTACAAAAGAAAGCTACAGTGGTTCACATTGGGCAGCATCTGCAAGTGTCTGGCGCTCATTTGTAAGCATTTTTTTTAATGTGGCATCAGTTTTTGCATTTTACTATGACAAACAATTATGTAGTTATTAGCTTCTCCACGTCCAAGCTGCTGCTAAGCGTTTCGGCTGTGCTGCTGGGCTTTGGCCAGGTGGTCACAGCCTTTCTACAGGAAATGGTCTTCCAGTTGGGCATGACGCGGGCCAACTGGACAGCCATTCGCCGGCCGGTACACTTCACCAACGGCCTGCTGATACTCATTTGGGGCGCTCTCGCCCATTGGGTCGTGGTCCACTACACATTCCAGGCAACGGTGGGCCTTGCGGGTGCTCTATATGGATCTACAACCTTAGTGTGGAATTTTTTGTTTTTCTGTTGCCAAAACAAGGACTAACAGAACAGTGCATTATTTTGCATGTTGCCTGGTCTTAATATTTGGGCATTTCAAATAAAATATATATATATATAAATGTTAATATATAAGCTGTAGCATAAATTCATTTAAAAAGCAAAATAAAACAAAATGGCGCACACATTCAATTTTGAGCGGCACATATACGTAAAAATATCGAGCTATCGAAATTCGATAGCTCCCGTTAATGTCGCATTTAGTGTTGCAAAATGCATTTCGCAGAGTACACTCTCAATAAATTCTATAAATTTTTGGGTTTATATTGAATACAATTAAATAAAAAAAATCCAATAATATATTTAGATTCACAACGAATTAATTAAACCATTTACAACGACAATTAAAGGCGATTTTTTATTTCAATTCAGTATTTTTCTTTGGTATTTTTTGGCATTTCATGTTTTTGTGTTGATGTGGTTGCTTTGTCGATATGTCAGCCTGTCTGTCAGCACGCTTAATTTTAGGCGATTAGGTTTTTTAATTCTGGAAAAACTTTAAAGTTGTATACCTTTTAAATTCATCATCCATACTATCAACACAACAGGTAAGTGCAAATGACTACAAAAATGCAATCTCTAGTGTATTTGCATATTTACGAACCTACGTTTTAAAGCGCGACTGCAAGTTTCAAGAGCGGCGTCGAAATGGCACCAACCGGCATTAAATTAACTTCACTTATAAAATGTTAGCAATTTAATTGAAAGTGCGCGTTGAATTCGTCATACGACAGCTATACAGCTAGTTGTTTTGTTAGCAACATAGCATTACGCTTGTTTTGTACATGGGCATATTTGTAGCTGCATTTTCTTTCACTGCTTTTTTTGTTGTGCTCAAGCGGCGCGCAAAATTTGCTGCTGCACAAGGGCTCTGGCGCCGACAACGTCGCATGGCAGCCATGTTCGGATGCGTGATGAACTAGAGGAACTGACAGTTTGGCGTTTGTTTGTTTGTTTGCTCTATTTAGATTCGTTTTTTAGCTGTGCACACTGTGGACAGTGTGCGCGAATTATTCAATATACTGCCCAGTCAGGTAATTGTGGCGGCCAGCGGAGCCAACTGGAATCCAGAGCAGGCGCTGACGTTGAACGGCGTTGGGCTCCCGATCGATTGGGATACTGCATCTGTGACAAATGGCGCTGAATTTTTATCAACAAACAACCACATAATAATTTCAAACTACAATTCCACCACGACGAGGCAACAGCAACAGCAGCCGCAGCCACAGCAGCAGCAGCAGCAGCTATCAAACGATATCAAAACTGAATTGGAGCAAGAGAATTTTTCAGCAACAACTATAGACGCTTTGGAACCGAAGCCGGAATCGGATCCGCGCTTGGCAATCGTACAGCGTACATTGGACTTCATTGCAGATACGTGCAAAAATCGACAGGTGGACAGTCTGTGGGGCGTTCTGCTGCTGCAGCGTAAACTGAACGATGTGCGCGAGTATCTGTTGAGGATTTCAATAACAACAGAACCCTCGACTGCAAACGACACGACTGCTTTGCTGGATGAGATCGATTCGAAAATAAAAGCCTTATCGTCTAAAATCGAAAAAGCAACAAGCACACAAAATCCAAATCTCGATCCGATGGGCTTTGATATATTCAACTGGATACGTCACTGGTTGCCGAACGGCGGCCGCAATAGCAAAAACAACAAGGAACCACCCAATACCGAAAACGAAGACGGCGAACGCACCCGCAAACGAACGTAAGGCAATCAATTTAACAGTCCATATAGAAAAGACTTACTCATTGTATTCCAGCTATCAAGCCTTGACCAACGAGGCAGGAGCTCATCATTCGATCAAATACCGTCGAGTGGATAACACATTTCCCAAATTTATGCCGAATGACGGTAAGTTCGTGGGAGATGTAGAAAAATCTCTATTACACCTAAGAAATTGAGTGGATTGGAGAATTGACTCGTGATATGAAAGCATCATCTTAGCACCCTTCATCATCTCATTTTATAGAAATATATATGTTCAGATATAAATCATATAGACAGAGAAATAGTCGGCCAAAATGTGAGATTTATGAGAAACTGTAAATCTATTAATTCGAAAATTAGTTACGTAGAGAAATATATAATCTTTGGCTACTATGACATGGCTATGACGAGCTACATCATATTTATTTTCTCGGAATGATTTTCTATTTAAATTAGCTGGGGCATCAAATCTGATTCTATGCCTTGGAAAGTTATAGAAGCCCGTAATGATTGCAATTCTTTTTCTTTTCCACAGCTGACAATTATTGCCACATGGCAACCGCAAACCAGCGCAAAGAGCAAGAGAACAGCAGCAATCACAATGCCTACCAGCCGCAGAAGCGTCTCTCGATATTCTGCACACCGCCGACGCGGCAAGTGCATGTACGGAATACACAGCCCACTTCTCCGGTGGATCTGTCCGACTCCGAGGATCAGCAGCATAACGAGAGCAACTTGTACCAAACATTTGCAGATCGCCTTGGGTCAAGCGGCCAGCCAACGACGCGCCCTGATGAATTTGGACGTTCTTCATCGAGAAGGCACAACTTACTGTACTCCGATGCCTTGCGTTATGGCACAAATGGTTTTCTAACGAACGTCAACTATCAACGTCCCGCTAGTAGCCTCTCGTCATCTGAGGCGCGCTTGAATGGGCACAGCGGCAATCTGTATGAATCGGGCGCCGGCAGAGACAATATAATGGTGTTGGAGGAACAGCGCAATGAGCACAATCAGTATATCAATCTCATCAATAATTTAACACTTCATGAGCGCGAGTATGCACGCCGTTCCGTTAATACGCGTGAGAAGGAGAAGCCACCACCGCCGCCGCCGTTGCAGCCGATAAGCCTTAATAACAGCGACTGGATGCGTGCTTATATTAAGAACAAGGCCGAATCCGGCGCGGCAGGACTCTCCGAATACGCCAAGCTGTTGAATTACAATTCAAAGCAGCAGCAGCAACAACAACAGCCGTCTATCACGTTGGGCAGGAAACCGCCGCCAGCTCTCGTACAATGCTACGGTCCGAGCAGTAGCTCCACCATCAGCGCGAAGCTGGAGAAGCCGCTGGTCGATAAAAGCATAGATGTAGATCATGGCAAGGAAACGCATAAGTGAGTATTGAAACCCCATTATATTTATGCAAATTGTTAAAGCTCACCTTGTTTATAGATCTACGCTGATGCTGCCGCCCCAAACAGAGCTGTCGATGTCACGCACTAAAGCGCTGCAACTGCGCAACAGCAAATCCATCTATTTTGCTGATAACTATACTCACATCTTCAATGAGAAATGTGCGCGAACGCAACAGGAGGTGAACCATGCTAAGAATCTTGTTTTGCAGGAGTAAGTGCTGCGTCTATTGCAAGTTGATCAACTATACTTATATATGGTTTATTTGCACAGAGCTGAAAAGACAACAGAGGAACGTCGAGCTTTTGAGCAAGGGCTGCGTGAGAGCTTATCCAAGCGACGCTTTATTAGTCAGACATTATTTGTGTTGGACAAATATCCACTGGAGAAAGATAGCGAACCAGAATTTATTCCATGGACTGATGCCCATCAGCAGCGCTATAATGAACTGGTATACGGCAAAGCCGACCAGGTGACTATCATCTCTATACAGTTTGATTAGTATATATATATAATTATATTACATGTTTCTCTCTAGGTGCTTATTTCGAAGTTCAGCCTTAGCATTACTAGAAACGATATTCGCACCTTGGCTGGCAGTTCTTGGCTGAACGATGAAGTTATTAACTTCTATATGAATCTATTAACTGATCGCTCTCAGCGCAAGGAGGGCAAACTGCCCAGCGTGTATGCGATGAATACGTTTTTCGTTCCACGCCTATTGCAGGGCGGCTACAGCAATGTGAAGCGCTGGACTCGCAAGGTCGATATATTCAGCAAGGATATAATTCCGGTGCCAGTGCATGTCAGCAACGTGCATTGGTGCATGGCCATTATTCACATGAAGAACAAAACTATTCGCTATTATGATTCAATGGGAAAGCCCAATTCGGAGGTGTTGAACGCACTTGAGAACTACTTGCTCGAGGAGTCGCTGGACAAACGCAAGAAGCCCTTCGACACCAGCGACTTTACAATTGAAAATGTCCAAAATGTGCCCCATCAGACCAATGGCAGTGATTGCGGTGTATTCAGTTGCATGTTTGCCGAGTACATCACACGCAATAAGCCGCTCACTTTCTCGCAGGAGCACATGGAGTACTTCCGCAAGAAAATGGCCCTTGAGATTTGTGGCGGCGAACTCTGGATGTAAACAGAGGAAGAGAGATGCCCAGCAAGTAATACCCAACATTATCATTAATTAAGTTAGTTTCCATCAAGTTTTTTATTTAAAATAATTTATTTATTATTGATAATTATGTGTGTACGATAAGTGGCCGGGAGCATTCTTAACAAGGATCTTAGAATCTAATGTTTCCTTTTAGTTTTTTTGTTTTTATCTTTCTATCGAGCGTACTATAATCCGTCTATCCCTTTTCAAACAAAATACAGTTACAGTTATTTCAGTTTTGCATCTTAGAGACAGAGGTCAAACGCCTAAGCTGCTAAACAATGCACACCTAACAGCAGTAACAGAAACACTAAACTAGATATAAACGAAATACTCCTATGATTGTAGCACACGATAATTAAATCAATTCGTGTAATAAAAAGAGGAAACTAAACCACGATTATGCCAATGTCTATTTTTGGGTGTGATTCTAGCGCGCTATTAATTTGTAATTAATTTCAGCTATAGAAATTAAGGTCAACTATTTAGAAACACAAATTTTAAAGAGCTATATATCTAAATGCAATGTTAATCAGATCCTGTAGATAGCAGCGCTATAGATATCTACGTAGCTGTCTCTATATCTCTGCCGAATCTAAATATGGCAAAGTTACTCTTTAAGTAATTTGAAGAGCGACACAAATAGTGAGGGGTGTCATTGATCTTATCATCAATAGTGTTAGACTCCAGGCGATTCTTTGTATTTTGAATGAAACAGAAAGAGAGGGAGAGAGACAGCGAGAGAGAATTGCAAACTATTCCTTTTTACTTACGCTAAGATACTTACCCATAGAATCTTACAATTCTTTTAAAAGTAAAAAAAATCCTGAAAAATATCAATAGCTTAAAGCGAGTTTAAAATCTATTGCTTAATATAAAAAGATCCAGACTATTTCTAAACGATGATACAAAAACTGAAATCAAAACAAAAATAAATTTAAAATATTCTTTTCTTTCTTTATAAGTTAGGAGGAAATAGCTATATATATGACTAGACTATATGTTAGTGCTATACCTTGCCCACTTCTGGGCTAGCTACTTAAGTTAAATATCTTACCTTAATTGAAGAAAAACAATTTTTTTTTAAATAAAGTTAATTTTGGTAAAAGTACAGCTCAAGCCTCTTAGATGGCAGACATTGCCGCTCGATATAGCTGCCTCTCGCTCTAATCGATTGCTTGATGATCTTTTGTCATACTCGTTCAAGCTGAGGCAAGAAAGCGTATTAGCTTCTACTGCCTGTCAGAATTTGAAGAGTCAGTACAATTCATAGATATAGTTCGGAAGACTAAGCAGTTTTAGTGCTCAAGTCTTGCTTGTGCTAAGATTAGTCTACAAATATATATATATATATATATATATATATATATATATATATATATATATTCTTATAAATGTATATATAATTAAAATGTCGAAAATCTGAATTTTCAGTTTTTTTTTTTTCAAAACCTTTTTGATTTCTAGATATTGGCGCTGTATATTTGTAGTCCAATTATTATAACATATTTCACACTCGCACACATATATTATTATAATACTATTGAAAACAATAAAAAAAAGCATAATATGCAAATCATATATTGTTTCCTTCTTCTGAAATCGGCATAAAAGAAAGCAAACGACATAAAAGAAACATAAGAAAAATCTGTGGGAATTTGCCTTCATAAGCGTACATCTAGCTAAATCATATTTATTTTTAACTATTTTTACAGGATTGTGTAAATTCATAGAAAAAAATTAAACAAAAAAAATACCTTAGTAGCTACCATAGTATTGCTAATGTATTTCACACTTACATATACATAATAATAGTAAGTAGTCGAAAAACTATTTTTTTATTTTTTTTTCTGGGAAAGGAAAGGGTTTTTGTTGGTTTTTTTCGATTTTTTTTTTTTTTTTTGTTTTGAGGGGAACTTAAAAGTTGTTTATATAGAGAACCGACGTTGGAGCCTGAATACACTAAAAACAAAGTATCACTTGTCTAAAAGTTTATTTGTATTAGTTTAGTTTCTTATATAACAAGCACGGGGAACTGGAATTGTCATAGTAAATGATGTAAGGAGTTACTGTTTAATAGAAAATTCACACATATATATATAAACGATATCGATTTATATATATGTTGTGATCTACACTTCTATGAATATCATCTCGGTGGCGAGTTGTTCTCTGGCAAAACAAAAAGTTAGAAAAAAATAAAACGAAAAACGAAAATCGAAAAACAAAAAATATTCTTCATGAAAATAATATCTGTACATACATTTTGAGGTATATATATAACGTGACCATCGTCAAGGTGTGCGGTATTCTTAATAAAGCAGTAACACTATAATGTTACAAAATATGCTCACATAAATATATATGTTAGTTGTTGTCATTGTTGTTGTTGTTATCTCGTCTGTGATTCCGATTTGTCACGCCATATTCTAACTAATATGTATCCCTACTAGTCTATGCATACATATGAATTAGGAAGTCTCTCGATATTACCCAGATCTTGTTCGATATCTGCTTGTATTTATTTATTGATAGATGCCACACATCGAAGTCAGAGTTACACGATTGCGTCTTATCAAAAAAAAGCATAATTTACTCTATATAGTATATACATATATATATACATATACATACATATATGTGTGTCAGTGTGTGTGTGTGTATGTGTGTGTGTACGTGTTTAACTGAGTTAATTGGCCTGCATCAAAGGATCATGGGTTCAATGCTCCTCTAAGGCATTAGCAATACTTTCCCCTAGTGTACATGTGTTGTCTTGTCGTTAAAGCTATATACTTCTTACAGAATCAATCTGATATTGGTATAAGCCAATGGTTTAAATAATACTTCAATATGTATGTACATGGCCAAGACAACAGGTGCGTTGTCAAGCATCCGTTGTGATTTTGCTTTTGCTTCTGCTTCCGCTTTTATATAATGCAATACAATTTACTCGTATATATGTTTAACAGCCTAAAAACATAAAATTTTTATATTCTTAATACATCTGGATTCTATCGGAAATCTAACATCTAAATTGGGTTTTTATGTATTTACACAGAAAAACAACTCCAGCCAGAGTTAACTTAATTCATATGGGGAAAAAAAAAAAACAAAAAAAAGGAGAGGAAAGTGTTTGCAATTGGAAATGTTAACGCATTCGTGAAGTTTAAATAGTTGTTGAATTTCCGATTGGACCGATGAAAATATAAAGTTTTGAATGTTTTTCGCCTCATTTCATATTCGTATTGATAAAAAGGTATTCTTTAAATGCTGACAGTATATCCATTGCGATAATTTTCAGTAGTAGTATTCTGAAATTGTATGATAATTTATATATATATATATATATAGATACATATATGTAGATATATATAAATATATATATGTATATGCATATATACATAAATGTGTAGAGAGATATCACCCGCCACTGAGTTAAGTATTTCAAATTATCACGTTTCATTGAGTAGTTGCAACTGCAATGAGTAAACGCATCATTTTTGTTTTGTTTTTTTTTTTTTAGTTTTAGTTTTAGTTTTTTTTTGTTTTTCTTAGTTTCATTATTGGTGTGAATCTTCTAACTTTAATAAATGGGGAAATATGTACCAATAATATACGTAATATATGTATATACATATGTTTGCATGTTTAGTGGTAACGTGTGTCTGTCTGTGTGTGTTTGCTTGCTGAGAATGACATGATGAATTTCTTCAAAGTTATAAAATAATTCGTACTTAGTGTTTTAGAGGAGAAACTTATCATTGAAGCACAAAAATAAGATTTGCAGACAGATTAATGTCATTTTAATCTAACCATATACTTATATATTATATTCTTAAAAATAAAACTTATAAAAGGTTTCTTTGTGATTTTCTCCTTCAGTAATTCATGGAAATTTGATTACTTATTATTAAAAAAAAAAAAAAATTAATATTATATTTCTATATATATATATATATACATATACATATATATATATATATATATATATATATATATATATATATATATATATTATCAATATATACTGGTGTATATATATGTTCAACACGCATCAGTTAATCTGGTTATTGATTAGCTGACGCTATTTTCCTTGTTCGTGATGACCAACGGATAGTGTATAAATAGTGAAGAGTATTTATTTTACTGCTAGACCTATTGATTCTCGTCATCATCACCGTCGCCATCATCGTCGTCGTGCTGTTCATCCAGCTGCTGGTGCTGTTGCTGGGCAGCTGCAGCAAGTAACGCGGCTTTCTGTACTGCTTGTGCCTGCGCCTGGATCGACGCTTGCATCGAGGGTGCTGACATGGCAATTTTCCCGCTCGTCTTGTACTCGGTCATTTCCTAAACACGACACGAATATTGAACATTATAAATAAACATAAAATATATGCATTGTTAAGTCTATTGACACTCACTCGTTCATATCGTGCCTTGTCCCGCTCTGCCATCGACTCATACTTTTGCTTTACTTCGGGATCAACGTCTGACCATTTGCGACCCAGCTCTTTGGCAATGTCACCAACACCAAATTCTGGATTAAGAGCCTTCACTTTATTTCTTTCATCATTGCAGAACCAGAAGAACGCAGACCTACAAGAATCAAAGTAAATCGAATCAAGTTAGTTATTGATATTACAAGCATTGACATCAATGGGGATCATTAGTAAATATTAGTATAATCAATTTTGCTACGAACTCACAATGAACGTTTTGGCGCATTGGGGTCCTTGATTTGTTTTCTTTTCTTGCCGCGGCCCACAACCGCGCCCTTGGGCGGCACGTAGTTCTGCATTTCTTGCTCGTACCGCTGCTTGTCTTTTTCGGCCATTTCGTGGAAGCGTTTCTTCTCCTTGTCAACCATCGTCTAAATGAAAGGCAAAGCGACTGGTAGACTTCAACTATGGAATTGATTGGTTTAGTGCTTACCTTCCAGCGCTCAGCGCATTTCCTTGAGAATTCAGCGAAGATCACTGTCTCATCAGGATGCTTCTTTTTGTGCTCCTCTCTGCATGTCTGTACAAAGTATGCGTATGCTGTCATCCGACCTCTGGGTTTCGCATCAGCCTTACCCCTAACCATTGGGCTCTGAAATGAGAGAGAAAATGAATATGCATTTTAAAATTTTCATCAAGTCTTTGATCAACTCACGCCAGCCGAATTAATGACATTCTGTTGCTGCTGCTGTTGTTGCATCTGTTGTTGTTGCTGTTGCTGCTGCTGTTGCTGTTGTTGCTGCTGCTGTTGTTGCTGCTGTTGCTGTTGGAGCTGTGCAGCTGTGTTGGCATCCACCTGACCCTGATTGGCAGCCGGATACCACCATTGGGAGCCGGGTACCGCTGCAGCTGCCGCAGCCTGTGCCATATTTAGGCGGTAATCGTAGCCAGTGGTTGCCGCATTCGAGGTGGCAACAACCTGGGCCATTGTTGTGGCTGGATTGGGGAAACTACTGGCCATTTTGTATGTAAATAGCTGTTGGGTGCCAACGCCGGCGGTGGTGTTGGAGCTATTTTGATGTGCCTGCTGTTGATTCTGCTGGACAACCACTTGATGTTGTTGCAACTGTTGCTGTTGTACTGCAGCCGCTTGTTGTTGTTGCTGCGCAGCCAGTTGCTGCTGATAGTGTTGAATTGTTTGCTAATCAATAGTTTGTTGTTGTGGTTGTTGTTTTTGGTTATGAATGTGTTTATGTGTATGTGTGTGCAAGTTGCGTGAATAAGTACAAGGCCAATACGGACAAGTTATTGCCAAAAAAAAAAAAAAACGAGCAGGAACAAAACCAAATCGAAATTAACAACGCAATGGCGTCGCACTTATCACTCAATCAGATATTTATAAATAAATACAGTAAATTTACATTCGGATAGTTGAATATTTATCGAAATTACTTATCATCCTTATAACGGTATTATTAAATCATCACATTCCACATGAATGTCAACAATCGATATACTAATCAACATTCAAATTTAAATTATAATGTTATTTAAACGTGTGCATAACTGACCTAGCGTGCCCCATGCACATGTATACATATATATGTACATGTATGCACATATATATTCACATACATATGCATATATTTTTGGATGAACGTACATACGCCAGTACACAATGAGTATTTGCAATTAAAATTATAAATGGCAGCACACACGCAAAAATAAAAAAAAAAAACAAAATAAAAAAAAAAAAAACATTTTTAAAGAGAGCAGTCAGTAGATCTTACAAAGCTTCTGTTGCCATTTGGCGCCAAAAACGATCTCTTGTTAGCCGCTGGCGGGTTTCACGCTCAGCAGCACACACATGCACACAAACACACACACACACAAGTAGGCAGTCACAGGCAAGCGGCTTGTACATTCATACAGTAAACGGTGAAAATGCGCATGAGCATGAGTTCCAAATGGTTGGAGCAGCAAACATCTGCGTTGCATGTTCCAATTCTCAATGGTTCCATTCACTTTTGGCTAAACACAAATGCTACGTTTCTTATTGGCAATTAATGCGTGCAAATTGTAAACAAATTGCGACATTTTTCGAAATGTTTAAGTGTACAGCAGAAAGCAAGTTAATACATACGTTCACACAAATGGGAATTAGTATAAACAAAAAAACAATAACAAATCTCATTGTATTGTGAATTTTATCAGCTGTTTACGATTTTACTTTTCGCACAAACGAGTCGCTCAAAAGCAACAACTGAGACTGATTTTTGAAAAAACGGCACGTTTTTAATAAAGAGCAGGTTCATTCGGTTCACGAACCAATTTATCGGCTCTTCTTTTATTCTCTCAATGCCAGGGGTGTCTTAACTACTCATGCAAAAAACGGCAACACTGTCAAAACATACAAACACATGTACATATTTGATGTACGTATGTATGAACGTGAGAGAGCTTCGGTGAGAAAATAAAATATATTGCTCTTTACAATGTAAAATTGTTTGTGCACAAACTAACACATATACATATGTGTATGTATATGCATGTATGTGCGTACAGAGAACTGACAAAGCATTTCGAGTTTGTACACATACACAAAGGCACATATAGACATACCAGTTGTAGTTGTCTTAAAACAAGAGACACTATACAAAGAAAAGAATTCACATGGGGAGCAGCACGTATACATATGTATGTACATACACATACATATGTTTGTATGTACATATGTACATACAGCCAATTTCAGATTACGCAAGCTTCGATGTTGTGTGCATATTTCAAGTTTTCATACATATGTTTATACAAACATATATATATATATATATATATTTTTTATATAAATATAAATATATACACATTTGTAGCTAATATATACATATAAGTATGCATGTATGTACCACAGACACGAATACTAAGAAACAGTCTTGTTTGTATCTGTTCAACATTCGAAAATCGAGGCACATGTCATTTCCAATTTTATAATGTTAAAGACACATACATGCATACGTACATATGTTTTTCGTTTGTATGCACTTAAATACGCATGTACTATGCAATTTCGGTGGTGTTCTAAATTAACAAAATGCATAAGTTAACGCCGAACGAGCAACAAAATAAAATAAAATAAAAATGGCGGCCATAGATGCGCACGCAAAATAAAAATGTTTCTTGTATGTCTATATGTTCATTTGTATGTATGCATGTACGCATAGCGTCGTCGTATGGATGGGATGCCTGTTTTTAGTTCGTATATTTAGTTTCTTCTCAAATGTATATATATTTGCTACTGATGTACATAAAAAAGAAAAAACTAACCAAAACTTATATATATACATATATATATATATATATATATATATATATATTGATACGTACAAACGTATGTTCATACACATGTATGCATTGAGATTCCAACTCGGCCATTGTAAAATTTCCATACTCTCTCATGCGTCTCATTTTATATGTATACATCCACACACATATATGTATGTATGCTTCAGCGTATATGTTTGTGTGTGCGTATATACGTACATAAAAACTAGTGCGTGCTTGCCAATTTAATTTGTTGTTGGCGGGAAAAAAATCTTTAACTTGCGACAGTAAATGATGTAGACGCAATGTGAGCAAAATAGACGATGAACGCCAGAATAGTTTGTGCAAATATATGCACATACATACAAAAATATATAGACATGTACATTTGTGTGGATGTATGTGTATGGGTGTGTGTCTCTGTGTGTGCACTTAAGCTTACCTGTATTTGATGAAAGTGTTCCATGATTTTGGCCGATTACTGTGCGAATGGTTCGTACTGAGGGGGTTGAGGGTGGCGAGGAGTTAGTTTATATATTTTCAATAGTTTTATATATGTACGTATTTTTCTTCGTTCTTCCTCTTTCGAATTTTTGCACTGCACACAACACAAACTCAATGGCTAAAATAAGTTTAAAGCCAATTGCAACTCGCATTCGTTTATTCCTTGTACATATGTACGTTATATTGATTATTATACATATATAAATATATATAATATAAATATATATATATACGTATTTATGTATGTACGACGGAGGAACTAGCAGAAGCAGAGCCGTCAGACGCCACACGGTAAAATTTGAAAATTTTTGTTACCGATTCTTACGGTGAATCGGCGTAACAGCGAACGGAACGATAAACGTAACGTAACGCGAGTTTGGAGTTTGGTGCTTCTTGTGTTGTTATTGTTTGTTTTTAGTTAGTAAAAAATAAACAAACGACGCCACAAACGCAGCTTTATTGCAGTAAATGTGTTTTTGTTGGTATCAATGCGGAAAAGATGAGGTTCGCGCGCCGCTCGCTTGATTGAAAACACACACAGAGAGAGTACCAACAACGAATGCAAAGGCTATTGAATTGAATAGCCGTCTCTGCCTTACTGTGCTTCATAGCCCAGCCTGGCTAGCGCCAGACTTCTGTATGCGTTGAGTGCGCAAGTGTGTGCGTTTGTGTGAGTAAATCTTGTCTGTGTGTGCGAACGAGAGAGAGAACGAGGGAGAGAGAGAACAGGCAGCAAGCAGCCAGCGGCGTGCTCTGAGTACAGTTTACTGAGTACACTTTCTCTCCTGGTGCCCAATGAGTGCTGAGTGTGTGAATGTGTATGCGTATGCATGTATCAGTGTGTGTGTGCATGTGTATGCGCGCCTGTGTGTGTGTGTGTGTATACACGTGGTGGAGGGAAACAGGCCTTTTAACATTTTTGGCTTGTTACTTTTTATACTAAGGTTCATGCAAACATATGTACACTATATGTATGTACAAGTCTTAAGACAAATGTACGAACAAGCGTCCCATGTATGCACATATATATGTATGTACATATTTATGTTCCTTACTCTTAATGTACATGCAAACAAACCCAAACATATTACTAATACATTAATTATATGTACATATGGTCAGACAAGTTACGTCCATGTGGGCCATCTTTACCTTATTATATTTATTATTTATTATTGTTTGTAAGCTTTCCAAACAACATAAAATAAAAAGCGCAATATATCATTCATTAAATAAAGCCAAAGATATTAATATATGTATATGTAAATGTACATACATATGTACATACACGTTTGGAAGTAATTATGTACATATGTACGTGCCTGTGCATACATATTTATTTATGCACGTACGTTCAAATGTACATACATATGTGTCTATGTATACATCCCCAGCCCATTTCAACAATACATTCACATTTGTTTGAGCGTATGCGTTTGTTTTTCGCCTTTACACAAACACAAAAATGCATGTATTTTATTTGATATACACACACAATGATAATCTCGCTACATACACATGTTTCATTTTGCGTTCCTCGTCTGACTGTACTTCCCAACTCTCTCATTTTAAAAAGAGAGAAACATTGTTGGAATAATGCAGCTGTGTGTGAACGTGTTAGTGAGGTCAGAAATACCCAACACACAAATTTTCTTCGATTTTATTTGATCATCACAAGGGTGTTTTTAAATAAATGTATGTGCACATAAACTTACGTACACACGTATATACATGTGTATATTTTAATGTACATATGCATGTGATTAGGCTACATCGTAATATAAGATAGAATTTAAGACTAAGCAAAAACCAAATTTGTTTAATATTATTTGCAGAAAATACTTATATAACCATCTAAACGTTTATTATTATATATATATTTAGATATATAAATTAAGTCATGTGTACATAAGATTTGAAAAAAAACGAATTCCTCTATTCGATAAACGATAAGCATGCTTGGTATCCCTTGTTTTATTGTCAATTCAACACAACCAGGGATGAAAACCGATTCACGTATAGCTTTAAATAATTATAACGAAATGAACCAAAGATTCAACTTTATACCACACGCTTAGAAAAATTAGTGTATTCATTTGATGCATGTCACATAAATTGAGTAGCTTAATATATACATATATAATAAACATCTCAAGTTGGATATATTATTACATTAATTTGAGAAAACAATCAAAAACAAACATAGTTCGAGTGAAATGTGAACTAGCTCAGCCAAATATCTTAATCGGAAACTGGGCGCATATTCAGCCCTGTTTCATTTCATTGTGAATTTCAATCGGTGGTAACGTATGTAATCATATGTTTATATAGCTGTGTGTGCTATAATGTTAATATGATTTGTCGGTATTGGATCTGGCATCTTGTTTAATTGCAGCGAAGCTTACGTTCAGACTAATCAAAAAATGGCCAACAAACCGCAGATACCGCTGCCATCCGAAGATCTGGACTGGATACAGTTACGTCAGGATCTTGGACCAGTTGTCGAAATTGAAACGACGAAGGAGCGACTCGTACGTAAAATCAAGGAAAACCCTTTGGTGCCCATTGGTATGCGATATATACTAGACTTGGCTAAATTTCGTTATATAAACATTGTCAATTTCATAGGCTGCCTGGCGACCACAGCCGCTCTGACCGCTGGTCTCTACAATTTTCGCACCGGCAATCGTAAAATGTCGCAGTTCATGATGCGCACTCGTATCGCCGCCCAAGGATTCACAGTCCTTGCACTTATCGTGGGCGTCGTGATGACCTATGGCGAGAAGAAATAGTGTGATTGCTCTACTAATTACTACTTTTAAAATGTACATACGTATATAGTAGACATTAAACGACTATACTAGAGTTCACATACAAGCAGACATACACATAGGTATAATTGATATATTGAATAAGGCATAGAGAGCACCTATGTGCGTGTGTATTAGCCAGATTCTAATTAGAATAAAATTTTCAAAGTTGTTGAATTTGATGTGATTTCGTTATTGTTTGGAGCATTTTAACCGGCGTTGCGCGGCTTACAAATGTTGAAATAGCCATTTTACATAATTGTGACTTGTAAATATTATTAACTAAAGCATTTTTTAACTAGAGCCAAGCAAATATCTTACATGTCTGGAGTTTCCCAAAGGTATTTTTTTGATTGCAGCTTGATGCAATTTGTTGATTTTTGTTTGTTGTTTTTTTTTTTTAAACACGCAAAATAATTTTTGGGTAGTTGAACAATTGAATACATCCAGAGTGTGTGTATTGGCTGGGTGTGGCTAAGGCTTGGTGCAGGGGTTACTTGTTACCCACTTTCGATGCGAGATGCGCGCGCGCATCGTCGCTTTCGGAAGTTTTGAATGTGGCAATTGTTTTCGCTAGTTAGTTCAAGGTAAGATTTCAACGGTAAAGGACGTTTATTGGATTAAGGTTGGTCGAAGTTACAATAAATGTTGTTTTTACAAGTGAAATAGTGTCGAAAGGTTTCACGATATATATAAGAATATATATCTTCACAAAATATTAATGTTTAAAAATGTTTACTATAGAAAAATAATTTTGCTATAATGAAATTTAGATCGCAATACTTAATACTAATACTAATACGCAATACTAAAAGAGCTATATATATATATAGATATATATATATAAATATATATACATGCCATAATATACGTATATATATATATATATATCTCTGCTTATCTGTCATATATAGATACCAATTAATATTAAGCTAATTGGAAGAAACATTCGCTTTGAGCATTTAATGTTTTTTTTATTGTAAAGTATTTTCTAATAAGAAATCAACCCTAACGGTTTGTTATGGCAGCTTTGTGTATGTGTGGAAGTATGTGCACGCACACACATTAATATACATACAAAGGCATTTGCGTAAAGCTTGTCTGGCGTCCCAGGACGCTGAGGAATACATTTAATGCTACAAAATTGTCTTTTTGATTTAATTTAGGCAAATATGAATATATTACTGGGCAATTGTGTGGGCAGTTGTGATCAATTGGCCGGTCCGCCACCTGATTTTATATTATCGATGCCGCCGCCGCCGCTGCCATCGTTTTTGATATCCAAACCAAAGAGCATTGATATATTACTGCCAGCAAACGAATCGCAGCCATGCTTTGCGGCATTTATGTGCGGTCAAAATCAACATAACGAGAGCGGCAATGAGTTAATGGAGCTGGTGCGCAGCGATACGAAGAGTATGGAAAATGTTTGGTTTTTCGTCTCGTCGTGCATTGGCATTTTTGTGCTGGGCTGTTTTCTGGCATTGATTGTGATTCGATGCAAAGAGTAAGTTCATTTAAATTTTACATTAAGCAGGGCTGTTGTCGAATGAAGCGAACTTTTGTTGTTCAATTGTGCGTAGAACTGTGCAAAAGCCTTGTTCACTGAACGAGCTAGTAAAAGAGTTTACGAGCTTGCAGCCCTGGTTAACGTTATAATTTGTGCTTACATTTCGATTTATACTAAAGAAAATTTTGATCTATTTAAATGCAGCACCTTTTTCTCGTACCACGATGCGAATATCAAGCAAACGGCAATCAATGCGTTGGGCGAAGCAACCAAATCAAACGCATTCACATCGGGCGGCATACTCTATCCGTGCGCTACGGCCAACAGTCGAGATCTGTTGCAGAGCCAGTTGGTGAATGACAGTCGCTTGTTGTGGGCCACCTTAACACCACATGGCACCAGGCATTTTATTATTGAGAACTCACAGGATGGTCACTATGAGTCGGTTGATTATCGCGGCAAGGCGCACAACCAGGTGTTCCGCGGCTATGCCAAGCAATCCCAATCCTTTGTCAAGGTATATCAAATGTTTCCATATCCCCATTTAGGTAGAGTCTAAGGCAACGTTTCTCTTTCCTCTATTTAATAGTCCTTCGATAATAATGGCTTTGTTGATTACGATTATGAGGATCCCACACCATTGATGGACTCGTACCATGATGATATGGACTCGGGCTATCAGGAGCCACATGAAGTAACTGGCTCGCTGCGTCGCTCCCCCATGCGAGCACTCGCCTCGTCGCCAACCACAAATGACATCTCGAACATAGCATCGGCTAGTTACAATGCCAGCCTGGGTCCCAGCCAAGCAGCACCTAATACGCTGTCCATCAGCCGCAAGACAACGCTGTCGCGTCGCATTAGCGATGCCTCCTCCCATAATGGAACCACTATGTAATTTGTAGCATTGGCCATAATGTTAATCAAAACGCAATCAAGTTTTTTTGTAAATTAAGCATGGATTAATTGCGCAAACGGAGAAAGCTGATTCGATGGAATGCCTGTCGTCCAACAACAAAACTAAAACTAAAACTAAAACTAAACTAAACACAACTATTCATACAGTATTCATATACAGATATGTATGTCATCCTAGCTTAAGAACTCATCTTGTTGTATTACTGCTAAATACAATTATTGCGCTAACTAAACAATATAGCCATATGCTAACTAATCCAAATCAAATTCAGCTGCTAAACCAAATAGATATAAAAGGAAAACGAAAACAATTGTCCTATCATAAATATATATATAAATATATATATATATATATATATATATATATATATATATATATATATATAATGAATTTAAGTATATAAATATACAATTTAAAACTGAAATACGTTAAGACGAAGAATTTTGTTTGTTGCTTCTAGATTATTTTTCGTTTCTCGATTTTATTTTACACTTCGCTCTCAACAACTTATGTATGTTAAAATACATAGAAAGTAAATATATATATATATATATATATATATATATATATATAACTAAATTTGTTTTGTGTCCCATTTAAAAATAAATAATTATATATAATTTATAGAAAAAAAAAACAGTATATTGCATCGGTCAGCGCGCACTTGCTCTAGCAGCTCAATATGCTCTTGATCCAATCGTGCAGATGCACCTCAATCACGTTCACCTGATTGTAGTTCTTCGAATGGAATTGATTGAAGGCCGTGGTCAGCTGGATGACTGCCGAGACGAAGTCGCTGAGGCGCAGCGTACCATCCTTGCGTATGTAGCGCTGGATGAGACAGTTCATGATGTCGGTGCTCAGCTGGAAGCCAATGTCATATAGTGCATCGCGTAGGCGCTCTGCGCGCAGAATGCCCGCTTTCTCTTTTGTATAAATTTTGAATACGCCTTGCCATGATTTTAGATTAACCATAAAGGTTTTGAACTGCTGAAACGTGATGCGGCCGCTGCCCGTTTTGTCTTGCAGCGCAATTACCTTGCGGCAGATGTCGATGTTGGCGCAGCCTTTGATATAGTCATTGGGCAGGCAGGCCTCCAGCAGCTCGTGCAGCTCGAAGCAATTGATGGTCTTGTTCTCGTCCGCCAGCTGCATGTACACTGGTTCATATTGGCAGATGCTTTTGATTTTCTGCACATTGTCGTCGGTCTTCAGCGCTGGGAACGGATCCAGCAAGATCATTGTTTGCGTCTCCAGGCACGACAGCCTAAAGGCGGACGTGCCCAATATGCGGACCGTGAACTGTGCCTCCTCAGCCGGCTCATAGGTGGTGGGCATCAACACATAGTGCCCAATGTCCAGCTGTGTGTGATAGCTGACGTGCCGAGTGTTGCCATAGTCCGAGTTCAGGAAGCTCATTTGATTTTTGAAAAAGTCCTTCTGTAAGCATTCGTTTAGGCTATATTCGCGATTCCACATGTACATGGTGAAGCCGATGACCTTTGGCTCCACGGCCGTATGCTGATTCAATGCAATGACAATGTCCTGTTTCTCCTGTATGGATACCAAGAGCTGTGGATTGATGTGAAAGGACTCATGGTTGCGACAACCGCCGGCAGTCACGCCGCGTTTCCACTGTCCTTGATACATCTTCATTTTCCAGTGCAACGGACGTCCCTTCAACATCTGCTCGCCATTCGCTGTGTCCGAGTCCAAATAAACGATTTCCAGCGTGGTAAACGTGTGCACAAAATCATAAAACGAGATCCAAAATTCGCCCAGCTCCAACTGGGCCAATAGACGTCCACGTTCCGCAGACGAGACGCGCTCCCAGGTCTTCGAGGTCGGTGACCAATCGCCCACGAAATTGGTCTTATCGCCAAAAGGCTTTGACGAAAATGTGTCCTTAATGCGCACCAATTGCACCGAATCGCCCATTACCGTCTCCACTTTATCCAAGCACGAAAGCCTGATCATATATATAGATAATTAGATGTGGATCTTGAGATATATACAATTTTCGCTATCTGACCTGTAGTTAGCATTCAGCAAAATGCCATTGGACAGCCTCTCCGTTGTATTCTTCTTTTGGACCGCGGCATTTTTGACCGCAATGCAGGTGACAATGCAAGTTGTGGCCAGGTGATCCTTTAGGGTTTGCGGTCTTATGGTATCCGATATAATGGGCATGCACTTGACAACGCCGCCCAGTAGATCGGTCAGGCCATCGGATCGTGTGCCATACTTGAGCGCCTCGTAGGAGCCATGCAATTTGGCAATGGCTTTCTCCAATAGCGATGCCCAGAAGCAATTCGATGACTGCGGCTGCATGAATGCGAGTCGTCCATTGATCGTTGGCAGGCGATCGTCGACGAGCACCTCCACCCACTCGCCGCACCACCATAGGCGAAAGCGATAGATGCCCATTGACTTGTCCAGACTCTGGTCGGCAGGCACAACGCGATAAAATAGATTTCGCAACGAATACAACACGCCCAGACAGGAGACGAGCCAACGATCTCCCATTTTACCAGGCACCACATCAAATTCAGCATTCTCATTGAGGAACGAGGCTTGCGCATTGTTTAGCTCGGCTATGCGCTTCCACTGGAATGTGAATGGGGGCGTTTGATAGTAAAATACCGATGATTGTATTGCTGGGAAATCAGCGTCTTCCCACAATATATTTCTCGATCTGCAATCACTGATAATGCGCTCATATTTGGATGCCATATTAATTAAATATATTCCATAGGCTATTTAGTTAACATCACATCGATCGATATTGTGTTTTCTGTTTGAAAGATCTATGCAACTTTTGATTTTTGAAGTGAAAGTTAATTTGTGGCTTGCTCGCTTGGGTAGCTAAGTCACTGCCACCTAGTCTAAGCCATTTCTTTCGTTCAGTGTGGCCAGCTCTTCGAAACGAAAAAGTGCCAATCGAAGCTTAATTCCACCTTCAGCCTGTGCGCAAGCGCCTTGTGGTGAAAAATGATTAAAACAAATAAAAAATAGATCTAAATTCGAATTGTTTGTTTATTGCACACTACATGTAACGTTTGTTCTTAAAATATGGCAGACGAAATACCTGGATGGCATTTAAGATAATAATAAATCACTAGAACTATGCCAAGCATATACAAAGCGTTGATCAAAATGGCCAAATAGAATGGAATCCAAAATATACAAGCCAAGATATTTTGTAAAACGCATAGCAATAAATAAATTATATACTTATACTTTGTTGGTCCATCGGAGACAGGCGTGAATATGAATATATAAACAGCGCCAAATGACAGACACAAAATGTAGTTCATAAGTGGAGATTTTCCAAACTTCGGCGTGTCCGCTATAAAGAGTATAGTGCCACAAAGTACCATATGAAGAATACAGACTGCGAATGTTTCCATGGGAAATATACTGGCCAGATAAGCAATGCATATTGTGCGCGAAGCTTGAAATACATGCATCTATGTAATATAAATTGATATTTATACTTTAGGGGAATCATACTCACCCGTCAGGCAGAGGAGAAACCAGAATTGTACAAAAAGTCCTTTTGCGCCTATATCGTATTTGTCGAGCTGGACCAAACGATTCGATCGGTTATAAGCAACCAAACACCAGGCCAGACTTAGGAAATAGACCAAAAAGGTGAAGGTGCGCACATCTGAAAATATCTTCACATTATCAATTTATAAGCCAATTATTGTTACAAGTTCAAATACGATATGCTATATACTTATTACACGTTAAGCTTTTTGTGTTTTGCAAAACTATGGCAAGCTGTAATACTTTTTGCGGTGCTGTTTCTAAAAATGAATCGAAAAGCCGAAGGAAGCCAATGTTACATTCCTCCATCAAATGCCTGCGATAACATCTGGAAGTATGAATATATTATTTCGATTATATGGGTAGGTATATTTAGTTTCTTACTCAATCTCGGCGATCTTATCGCCCCGCCTTTTAGCCTCGGTATATTTTAATGCCCAGTTGAGGGTCGATGCATCACGAAATAGGAATGAAACCACAAGTCTCCAAAATAGGCGTGTATTGTCAACGGGTTTTTTACTTGGGTGGCCTACGATAAGTCTACAAATGGAATTAAACACATTTAACAGGATATACCAATGACAAAAAGTGGATATTCTTACACATTTGCATAGATTATGGTCGTTAGGATCATGGGTATTAATATGGACATAATTGTCCAGTGGCAATAGGTGTACGATGCGCTTCTCCAATACTCATATGCCAGACAGCAGTTCATTATTATTGTTAAAAAACGCATAAATGCCGAAATCGCAGTCATAACAATGTTAAATGTTGATATTTGATGCGATAATGTTGCAGATTGCATATTCTCCTTAGTCTGATCGTCGACATATTCCATTTTGATCACTGAATCTCAGAAGGAGATTGCAGATACCTCTCGTAAAACTTAACTTGTTACAATATATAATATCATTTCAATCACTTTCTGACTTTGTCCAGTTCCAGTTGAGATCAGACCGTAGCTTAGCTAGACTTGAAGGTAAGCCAGCTGCGCAATAGCGATGAGGCAGCCAGAGAAACCGATCTATCGAAATACCAAACAAAACAAATGCTGCTAATTCTTACCGAAATAAATACTGACAGATGTATTAATTCATTGAATAAGGGCAACTGCTGGACTCAATTCAGTTTAATATATTCAGCTTATTTTAGAACAAGAAAACGAGTTCTTCTATACACACTTTTACTTTTCAATAACTAAATCAGCTAATTTACATTTTCGTTTCTTTGCATTTTCACTTTTGCCTATTTACATGATTAGTAATACAAAAAATAAGAAAAAACCGGTTATTTGAACAAATATATATTATTATTATTATTATTATTAAATAATTATAAGAATCGTATTTGCAAATTTGTATTCATACTCATAAAAAGAGGTTGAGAATTGTAATTCTATCATAATTATTGTACGCAGTTTACTTTTAGGTTCCTTTTTGCCTATATTGTTAAAGCAATCATTGGTTACAATTGTCCATAGCCAAAAAAGGGGGAGGATTCAATTTAGAAGATTGGCTAAGTCTATGTGAATTGGCACGACACTTGATTTCCGTGGTTTTGCATTTTTCTAGCTGCTAATATTTGAAGACAACGGTAATCAAAGTCGATTGCAACATTTTACGCGATTTGAATAAGCGGTATGAATTAGACTGTGTAATCGATAGTTTGAACGATGAACTGCGCATTCCCAATGTTTGACGATAGTGCACAACTGTTGGCCGCCCTTTTGTAAGAATTAATCATTTAAAATTATTACTCGATATTTATTTTTCAAAGATTTAAAAAAATAAAAATTTTGTTTTTCTGCTGAATTTCTTAATCTATTCGTGTTTAGGTTTCAATTATCAGGTTATTAGTTAAATTTTGTTTCTTTTTATTTTTAATTTATCTTATATTTCCATTTTCACGCCAAATTATTATAAACTTTTTACCTTTACCTCTACATAATTATTTCAGTGGTATATGCTTATGAGATTTCCTTGATTTTTATATATAGTAAATATTCAATATTTGATATGGGAGATTACAATAAAAACAATAATAATAAACAAAGCACATTTATAATACAAATTATGAAGAAGATATTCTATAAGTTCGTTTGATCGTGTTTTGTTCAAAAACTTTTTCTTATTGGCCGAAAGATAAAAATCTCTATTGACACCTCAATATTTTTTTCTGTTTTTTGTTTTTGGCAAGCAAGCATGTTGCTTAGATTCAGAAGCATGCACCATTCATTCCAATTGCAATTGAAAAGAAAAGGGAGATTACTTAAAATAATAAAACTTAAAAAGAGTGACGATCATGACTGTATAGATTAGTATATTATTGATATGCGCAACATTGGTAAACGCATTCGCGCTTCCAGTCAAAGCCAACTGATGGTAGTTGCGGCACAGAGTCTCATTTCTTATAAAATTAAACATGGACTCTATTAGATTGGCCGGAGTGATTTTCGAACAGTGTTCCAAGTGACGCACAACGCAGTTCTCAAATGTGATTATATCTCCGCATTGTTTCTCTTCAACGACCAGTTTGGGTATTGTTTTGATTTTGTTGCTGTCGTGCATGTCAATCTCATCAAAGTAGGTAGAGAAGGTGCTATTGAAGCATTGATGAATATTGTCCTTCTGTGATTCGAGGCATTCGAAGCCTTCTTCGGCAATAAATAGAGCTATTTGATCGCCATCCTTGTGGCACACAAAGTTCAAAAGACTTTTAACAATATGTTTAATCACATCCATGCTTTCCATCTCCTTCTCATCCAAACACGGCATTAGTTTCGTCGTGAAGACGTCGAAACATTCTGTAGCATTCGAGCGCTTGGCACAGTACTTGTTGAAGACCACATCCAGTTCACCTTGAGGACTCGCCTCTTGGATTTCCTTTTGCATTGTTGTATAATTAACAATGCTGTTCATGCATTCGCTGAGCGTTAAGAACCCCGTCTCTATATCGCTGTACGCCCGATCGCCATTTTCTTCGCCGGAAACTTCAATGCACTTTTTGCGAAAAGCTTCTTTTGCTTGATTGAAGCTAACATTCGATTTCAACAAATCCTCTGGAATTTGGCTTTGCATGTCGAGCTTATCAAGATTTAATTGCGCCTGCGCCTCTAAAGTGCCAAACACTATTAGGATTGACCAGATCCATGCATGCGCTGGCAGCTGCATCCTGTTTTTTGATTGTTAATTAATCTTACTCGAGTGTTAATATCCCAAAAATTAATTTTTTGCTTTAGCGTTGATGATCCAACCAGCAATATCGTAGCTCCCTTTAAAAATTGAGGTATTGTTTTAGTAATTAGTTGTGAATTGCCATCACATATGCATATTATGTGTACTTGTACTTTGAAATCCGAACCGTATGTGTGGATTCTTATAATTAATTTGTCATTGTGTTTATGTTCACTATGCCCACATTTGCTTAAGACAATATATCGAAAATGATGGAATAGAACAAGATACTCTCTTGTATTTGCCGCGATAAATAAAGAATGTTCATGTGAGCTAGTTTGGATTTAAATGAAAAACTGCAAGGAAACTGATTTAGGTCATTAATGTATTTTTTTGCTCTGTACGTTTATTTTTAATCTTTACTTAACATTGGCATTAAATAAAAACATATAGAGACTTTAATTTGATTTTGATTTGATTTCATAGCAACGGCCCGCAATTTTGCAACGTTCGATAAGTGATTCGATATTATGCAAGTTTGCAGAAATTGCATCACTAGATTGAAGTAAAAGCGGGAAATTGTGCACAGCTTCAAAAGACTTTTACTAATATCATTGTATGCTTCATATAAAATGTGTGATATTGGAAATTTGATTGATTTAACAGGTTGGGATGAGCCTGTTAAAGAAGAAACAGTCGTTGAAGATATTCCAATTCAATCAAACAGTTTTAAAGGTCCGTACGATCCTTTTGATTCAATCGAAAAAGAAGCCTGCATCAAGGTGAGTATGCGCATATACACACACGAATACGTACATACGTAGCTTAATGACAAGCCATTTTTTAAATTTCCTTTATATAGGGCGAACACTTTAAAAATGATGCCCAGAATACACCAACTACAATAATTGAAGGCCAAAGCGATAACAATGAGTCTTCGCCTGTTATTATAGAATCTGAACCGAGAAACGCAGATACTATCAGTAACTCTTCAGTTAGCAATGAGTCGCGTCACCGGACTCTCCAGCAGCTTGCCAAGCTGAATGCAACCAGACTGTCAAATATGAATACACCAACGCATAATCAGCTGGTAAATGTTGGCACGAATGGAAACAGCTCCTATTTTAATAGTTGCTTTCTAAGCGAGAATCTGCAAATGATTGCAGCGGAATCGCCAGTTAAGCTAATAGAAGATGAGCCCAATCCAATTCCAATCACTATGTCAACTACAGATCTGCCTGACTATACATGTTCCAACACGGAATTCGAAGTGCGATTAAAGCAGATGCGCATCGCTATGTTGGGCTCACCAGCGAAAACCGTAGCACCAGAACCTCTCCCAACACACACAACAACAAAGAATTCTAACAATACTCCAGCAGAGATTGAAAGGCTTTGGCAAGAATTGAAATCTCTGGTTTGTGCGCACGTTGAGGTATCTAAAAGGGAACAGTTTAATGTGGTAATTGAATCGCTACGTGCAGCCATGCACAGCAATGATCCAGCTGTAGAAGATGCCGGCCAGACGGCTAAAGAATCTCCACGTATGTATACACGGCAAGGAACATTTGATTTAGATCTAGAGCAACAGGTAAATAAAAGTTAGCAACATTTTATGTATTCTATGCAATCTATTATGTTTCGTTTCATTTCTAGCGAAGGAAAACTGATATGGTAGATCATTTGAAGACAAATGGAAATATACAAGAGTTTCCCGATGTGATGACTTGCTCTTCAGCTACATACGATGCGGAGTCAGCTGACAATCCAATGACTCCGATTAAAGAAACTGAATTTAAGAAAAAACCAGACTCGTATGTGACCGAAGTAGTTAATGATAATAATCTAGCTCTGCAAATCAATCAACTCTTGGAACGGCACAATCTTACTAAACCGCAGACTAATGACAATGAGCACCAGCATCACGAGTCGGAAACAAATCAGCATTCATCTGGCCAAACTGTAATATTAGTTGTAAACTCCACGGGCGGCAGTCAATTGCCCAACTGCATAGTGCATCCGTCGACAATCAGAGGAGCCAACACAGCTGCCAAAAATGACAACGACAACACATTGCGTCGACGTTCATCTTCGTTGTCCATTCACGACAAGGCCAAACAGGAGCGATCGAAAGCAATAATTAAGCAAGCGTCCATCGAAGGCAACATCAGTCATATTGTGCCTCTGAAGGAACTGTCGACTGTGGGTGATAAATTTAATGCTATGTCGTCGTTTAGGCAACGTCGCAACTCCTTTTCCATCGCATCAACAATTGGTAAAGGGCATACGCCTGCTGTTTCTGCCAGCCAAGCCAGAAGCCAAATGGCTGGCCGCACCAAAGTGGCGGCCATAAACGAATCGGTTATGAAACTGAATGCGACTTCTAAAGCGAACAAACCTGTTAAACGCGTTGTGCCCATGGTAAAGCCCTCGCTGGAACTCACTGATATTACACATTTGAATTCAACGACGCCTCGCTGCAACGTCCAGGACACGCCTCTGGCCACAAAAGGCAAGACAGCCAGCAAACTGTTTTGCACCAGCACACCCATGCCACAAATGCGTCCACTACAGCGTCGCTCCTTGAAGCCAATGAGCAGCTATTCCGGCTCCTGTGCTACCACTTCAACTGTGCGACCGCCGAACTACTCGAAGAAAACTGCCCAATGAAATGCCAGCCAATATGTGATGTGCTTCGATAAAAATGATTTAAGCTAAATTATAAGAATCCGTCCGTTTTTGTTCTATATAATGTATACGATTGGCAGCAAAAGGCATGGCCAAACCCATTAACTATTTATACATTGAATTCTTGATCACAACGACGGGCTGAGCTGAGCTGATTTAGCCACGTCCGTCTGTCTTGTTTCATTTCGAAAACATTATTCCTACATATTTATAAGACGTAAAGAATATGGAAAAGTAAATGTTATTCCGAATTGACATTGAATTAAATTGATAAAATGCCTTCGTTTATTTGTTATTGATCTTATTCTTCAAGATGCTGAGATGGGTCAGACAGTTGTCTCGATACGTACGTCGTTCCACCAGCTTGTCCAGGGGCACCATCTCGTTCAGCTGCTTGGAGATGCTGTCAGCCGTGGGTCCCTCCATTTTGGGTGTCTTGCCCATGGTTTCGCTGACGTCATAAATCGTCTTCGAGTATCGCTCAAAGTAGTTCGCCATGCCCTCAGCATTCAGATGCGCCGTCTCCAGTGGGCCCAAGAAGGCGTAACGCATGCCCAGGCCATCGCTCATGACGCTATCAATATCTTTGACATTGAGAATGCCTGCCTCGACCAGACGCCACGTTTCGTTTAGAATGGCATATTGAATGCGATTAAGGGCAAAGCCCTCAATCTCACGAGATAGTGTGACGGGTTTCTGGCCGATTTCGTCCATCAGTTCGCGTGTCTTTTTCACGACCTCTGGCTTAGTCCAGGGTGCTGGCACAATTTCCACCAGCGGCACGTAGTAGGGCGGATTAACTGGATGGGAGACAACGGTCTAAAACAAAGCCAACGGAAATAAATCAATCTGAGATTAGACCAACTGATATGTGCAGATTATATCACTCAACATGTATATATATATATATATATAATGCCTGACCGACTTACATTATGTTTGTGCTTTAGGTTTGCGGTAAACAGGGAGGGCAGGAATGTGCTGGTTGAACTAGATAAGATTGTGTTGCTGTCGACCACATCGTCCAGTTTCTTGAACAGCTCCTGCTTCCATTCCAACTTCTCTGGTATGCACTCCTGTATGAAGATGGCGCCCTTGGCCAATTCCTTGATGTCGTTGGTGCCCGAGATGCAGCTGAATTGTTGCACAGCATTCAATTTGCCACGCAGCAAGCCCTTCGACTCCAGGTCGGCCAGCTCCTTCTGCGTTGCCTTCAAGGCGGCTTGCACTTGCTCCGGCAGGATGTCATAGAGTACCACCTGGTAGCCAACCGAGGCGAACAGCATGGACCACGATCGTCCAATCAAGCCGCTTGAAAAGCGCAAATCCAATTATATTTGTGTGAAGTTCACATATATATAGATGATATATCCTACCTGCCAACGATTCCTACTTTAGCCATTTTTTTCAAGTCTGACATTTTGCTTTGCTTTTCTTTTTTTTTCAAGTATTTTCAATGCGCAGCCAAAAGGAGCACGACTTCTGTATTAGGCGTACTGTAGGCGTTTGAACACTTATTAGTGGAGCACGACCGGTTTAATACTTATTCGGCGATAACAACAAAAGGTGAACGCGACCTACATATGTACACGAAGTGTGATGTGTGTTGTCTTATTGGGTGCTGCGAGCTGGGGTGTTACTGATTCCAGTGCAGATAGTGGCTACCAACAATTTAGCTATGTTCACACACACACACACACACGCACGCATGCATGCATGTGTAAGTAATTTTTATTGCTGGCGACGCAGAAGAATAAGAAGAAGAAGCAGCTGTGGTAGAGAGAAGTAAACAATCATCCCGCTAGAAAACTTGCTGCAAGCCAGTTTGAATTAAATAAATAAACAATTATTTTGAAAAGCAAAATTCTTTTGTATTATGTATGTATTTAGCGAAAACCGGTTTGGTTCAATGCATTTCAGCAGAAATCACATATACAAGTGCGTAACAATGTCACTTGCCTTGCCACTAGCCAATTTGCTACAGGGTGTTTGTGCTTTGCTCTGGCTGTTTCATAAATTTAGACAAAATGCCCTTAATTTGACTTTTAATATTAATTCACTTTTATAATGTTGACCAACTAAGTAGTATCTATGCGATTCATTACGCACACATATGTACATATAACGGAAAAAAACTTTAACTACCGTCACAGATAAAGATGAGTGTTTGAGCACATACATACATATATAAATATAAAATATATATATGTATGTATGCGTTGGTGTAAAGTATATGGATGTGCATGGGAGTGTGCTGCCGCGCTTATTGAGCACATAGCAGATAGCACTAACCTTAATTAAGGATATTCCATGATAACTTATACACATTATATTCTAATAACTTCTTTTCAACTACGACACTGACCACATCCGGCCAGTTGCGGGTGTTCTAATACATATAAATAAAATAAAGTAATACAAAATTGCATTTCGATAAAGTTGTATGAGATGTCAGTGGCCACTCATCGCATTTATTAACTCACGTTCTAAGCATCTTAGTTGTATATTTATATGAATTGTGTCGTTCAGCTGTTTTGGAACAATGTGCAGCAGAGCTCTGCATTGATAATATCTTCGGTCCTCTAGAGCATATCAATCTTTAGGTAAGATATGTTGCTACCATATAACTTATATGTATGCCGGTCTTAGGGAGACTTGCTTTGCTTTGCTTTGACAGCGACTTCAGTAAGTGCCTTGTGCGAGAGTGTCGTCCAATTGGCGGATGCGGATGCGGACGCCTATGCAGTATTTGAGGAACTCATTTATTTACTTAAGCCTTTCAGCAATTGTGAAATATATATTTCTGAAAGTTGAATATGGGCTTGGTATGCTTAATTTAAGTTGTTATTATTTACATACATACATCAGTTTATAGAAAGGCGGTAAGTGTTATATGTGTGTATATGGTATATCTATATGTTATATATTGTTATATATAGCATCATTCGTTTTGTTCAGTGTCTTTGAATGATATTTTTGTTGCATGTGAAATGTATGTAACTAGTTGTTGTCTTATCCTTAAAGCGCCATTTTACGCCCCTCTATAGAGATTTCGACGGCTCGACGACTCTCCTTTGAGCGTTTTGAATCCAAAAACCGTTTCATATGCTTCTCATAGCGGTTGGGCTTGCGCTTCGATGACTGCAGAGAAGTAAATTGAATATCGACTACTGATTGATTGTTTTAATTGGGACTTACCGAAACTTCGCCTTCAACGGTTGACTTTGGGCGAATGACATAATCTTTGTTGGAAGGCATTGGTACACGGGCGCGGGAAACCCAGCCGGGATCGCCAGGACGCAGTAGTTTATCCTCGCTCGAGAAGGTTTGATTTAGCGACGGCGGATTGCTGCTTGATGCGGGCTCTGGGTCTGGACTCTTATGACGATTGCGGGACATTTGTGCTAAGTCGCGCTCTTGACGCTCCTCCTTGCTCATTGCTGAGAAATCACAGCTCAAATTGAATATGGGACGGGCCCATTCCGAAATCAAGCGACCCGCCCGATCTCGGTTCGTCTTCGTCTCTTGCGGATGTTTGTACAAATACATGACAGCTTTTCCGATGCCCGATTGCTTTAAATATGACTTATCTATGGTTGGGAACTAACGAAAGCGAAGAGCGCGCGCAATGGACGAAAGAGAGGTAGACATCGAGACAGAGCAGGAGGATGAGAGAGAGAGATGGATAGATAGATGGTTATGTATTTGCTGGGTTATTTGAAATAGTTTATATTTACATCGGATAACAGCCTCAATATGCTTTCGCGTATTTGCAGACAGGGCAGACTTTTGTTTGGCAATGGTGCTAACCAATCCGTAAGTACGTTGAGTATGTTGTGCTCCAAAAAGGCCAATTGCAGATCCTTTTTAATCAGCTGTGACATCACTTGTTTGAGCATTGAAATTTTCTTTGTGGCCGGCTTTCCGGTCAAATTTAGCTGTCGATCATCGTCTGAGGCATTTTTCATATTTATTATCAGTTGATCGATCAGATCGTCATTATCGTTTATCATATCGATATCTCGCTTACGACGTCGTACACGCTTCTCCTCCTTTTTCCGCATCAACATTGCATCAAAGTCGGATACGAAATTACTATTTCTAAATCAATTAAAATACATGTAATATGCCGTTGTTTTATCGTTCATATATGCACTTACTCTGGTTCATTTGAAATGGGCGTGTTTTCATCATCTGAACTTTCCACAATTTTATCCTGTGCCTTGTCCGCTGTCTTATCTTCAGTCCCCTTTTTCTCATCGTCATCGTCCTCGTTGTCTGTGTCTGTGATTTTAACTCGTTTTTTTTGTAACTTTGGTGCATCATCTGAGGAAGCATAATCATAATAAATAAAGAGTACCAGATATATAGACATATATTGAGTTTACCTTCCGAATCGCTGGTTATAATACGTTTGCGATTTACTGCATCTTGAGATGTGACCGAGTCGGCAACACTATTTGAGCGCGATCGTTGATCAGATTTCTTTTTCGATTTGCTGTGACTGTGTGAGGATGCTGCGCTTTTAGATCGACTGCGAGAGTGTGCTGAGCCAACACGAGAGGCCTTGGAGCCACTGCGTGAACGCCTTGAGTTGCTGCGTGAGCGCCTGGAACCGGAACCACTGCGGGATCGTCGTGAGCCGCTGCGGGAGCGTCTTGATCCACTGCGCGACCGTCTAGATCCAGATTCACTGCGTGATCTTCTGGATCCAGATCCGCTGCGGGACCGTCTAGAGCCAGAACCACTACGTGATCGTCTGGATCCACTTCGTGAACGTCTTGATCCACTTCGTGAACGTCTTGATCCACTTCGTGAACGTCTTGATCCACTACGGGAACGTCTTGATCCAGATCGACTACGAGAACGCCTGGATCCAGATCGACTACGAGAACGCCTGGATCCACTACGGGAACGTCCACCAGACCCACTACGCGAGCGTCTCGAACCACTACGAGATCTCCTTGATCCACTCCGTGAACGTCTTGATCCGCTACGTGAGCGCACAGATCCACTACGTGAGCGCTTGGATCCAGATCCACTACGCGATCGTCTAGATCCACTACGCGAGCGTCTAGACCCACTCCGAGAACGTCTTGAGCCACTACGTGACCGTCTGGATCCACTTCGAGAGCGTGACCGTCCCTCAGAGCCACTACGAGAATGTTTGGATCCACTGCGTGAACGTCTGGAACCACTGCGAGACCGAGAGCCACTTCGCGAGCGAACAGATCCACTGCGCGAACGTCTAGATCCGGATCCACTGCGAGAGCGGTGAGACCCACTTCGCGAACGATGAGGCGACCCACTACCGGATCGTCTGGAACCCGATCGACTCCGAGAACGCCGAGAACTGTCGATGGCACTACCACTACGGCTGCGTGACTTTCGGGTGGCACTTGGTGAACGACTACCTATTCGCGGAGTTTCTGATTTCTCCTGCACTGGTTCGCTGGGAGGTACGGCAGATGATTCCTCCACAGTACACGTTGAATCAACTTCATTGTCTTGAATTGTTTTTGGGTCTGTGGACAAGGCCGCGACCCCGTCCGTGATTTTGCCACCGTCCGGTTCCTTGTTGAACGCTTCGCCTAAAAGACAAAGTGTGAATGCATAAGCACGCTAATGCTGTTTTTCCTCCATTTTTGTATAATACCTTTTTCAGCCTCCATATCCATACTTTAAAGTTGTTAGAAAATTTGGTTCATGTGGTATTTAACAATTTGGCTTCTTAATGTTTTACGCTGTTATTAATGTCCGAAATTCACACTAAGAAGAACGCTTATTAATTCTCAAAAAAAAGTTATGAGCATACACACTCGTATGTACAATTCGATAAACTTGGCGTCAAGGAACTACCGAAACAAAATGAAATTGAAACGTCAAATGTTCGATATTTTCCAATTTACACATGTTCTTGGAACAATGGTTCGATTTCTTAGTTGAACTGGATCTAGTTCAATGATAATTGCAAAGCTATGATGCTGTTGATGCTATTGTATTCCTACAAAATATTAGTACACCAAGAGATAGTTATTAAAAATGCAATGTTATATAAAATGCATATCATAAATTTGAAATTTTTTATTAGGCAACAAAATTTATGTAAACTTTAAAAATTTTAGTACACTTACAAATCTGCTTACAATTTAAAGAAAATAGTGTGGTATAGGATAGCCTGATAGATTCCATATAGCAGTTGTTATCATATTTACTATTATTATCGGCAGTAAGAAACTAAAATTCGAAGTTGGAAAAAGGGTTAGCCTTAATTGAGAGCGGTAATTGTTTAAAGCGTAGGAAAAAAGAATAAAACCCAAAATATCCGGATAGACCGTATCAGCAATATTCCACTCAAATTAAGAGTTTATGAATATTGCGTCATATGCGCAAAATACTGCTAGATTTAATACAGATATGGACCATTAACTATATTCTTTATGCCTACGCTGAGTTCAGCGGCGACTGAGCATTTGGGACTCTAAGACGCCGCTACTATCCTCATCCACCGCCCATGGAACATGATCCGCAATCCATACTCTGTTGTATGCGTCCAATCCTTCGATTGGGCCTTAGACCACCTCCTCCTCCACCACTGCCGCCGCCGCCTCCTCCACCTCCACCACCACCACCACCTCCTCCTCCTCCTCCGCTTCCCCAACCACCATTGCGACGTGCAGTGTTGCGGTTATTGTCGTTGCCACCGTTGAACGGCGCCAAAAGGGTTTGAACACTGCAAGACAAAGAATAGACAACTTTAAAATACGCCTGATTTAAGTCATTAAGTAGTATACATACAATTGCACTATGAGATACCAAAGCCCTACAAATATCTCGAGAATACGTTCCAGATTCCAAGGACGCTTCTCCCACACGCGACCGTCTATAATCGCAAAATAGTTCAAGTATTCGAATTCAGTTAATACATATATTTATATATATATATATATATATATATATATATATATATATATATATAATAAAACTTACTGCGGTCAATATAAACCATATTGCTATCGTGTCAGCATGAAATGTTCTTTTTTCCTGTTTATTTATTATTTATACAGTACAAAATTTTGTCGACCAATACGTGTCTACAATTACACTGCTAAAACGATATCGATATTTTTGTAATTTCAATAGAGGCATTCCTCAATATCTCTGTTATATTTAAAATAACAATTCGAATATTTCAAAAATTGCAAAACCAATTGTTTTACAATATCTATTTTATATAGATGTAATTTACTTTTCAATTGTTAAACTATTCATATATATTGATAGGAAATGCCCTTGATTGTGAAATGTTTGTTGAAATATTGCGATAGTCGATTCTGCTGATGTACTATCGATATCTCGATAGTTCGACTGTAATAGTCAAGTGTAAAGAAATACAACTTGTAATTTAGCCATAACAAATCAGCAAAGACGCTCTTGCTGGCGTCTGTTGCTGCTCGATTATATTGACGATAATATAACAGATATAGGTGACAATCCAGCAGACAAGATATCTACAACAATAGCATCGTGGAGCTGACATTGGTAATACTCACGGTCAGCTGCTACCTGAGGCCGAGGTGAGTTCGAGTAGACCGCAATTTCAGGTCCATCTACTACTAATCCATGTCTCTAACCAAGTTTGCAGCCAGCGTTCATCACAGTCTAACAACGTCGTCATCAGATTCTTGAATCATTTGCCAAAATCACGAATGCTGACGAATATGCTTAGAATGTCAATCTTTAGTATTTATTTATCATACGCCTCCCACGCAATTCTCTATATATTCCTTAAGGGAGGGATATTGTTGACTGCAGACACAAAATGTGTCAGACATGGCAATCAATCAATGCCTTAGTATATATTTAGTGTTGTTGATTCTATATAGCCATATACACACATCTTTCAAAAATATTAGGCATCCCTTTGTGAACAGACATATGATCAACATATGTTAAAAGCCGGCTAGATTAGTTCAGCAGTAAACAGCTTCAGCCTAAAACCTAACTTAAAAGCAATAACAAAAAGGAGCAGCTTAGACAGTTACTGTAGCAATATGCCGTTTATGCATAGACATATGTGTCTGGAAGAGTATTCAGTCTTTGCTATTTGCAAAATGATCAATTTTATTTATTTATATTTGTGGCACATTGTTTGACAAATTGTTAACAAACACTGCCTGCTTGGTATTAGTAAATATTTATTTCTAGCTAAGCATACAGGCACACATACATATGTGTGTTTGTGTATATTTGTGTAATGATGAACTTCACGTTAGACGTTATTCAAATTGCACTTTGATTTTGCAACACAAATCATTTACACTTCAACTTGACCTTTGCTGCCACACACATCTATATTTGGTGTATGTATATTTAAATGTATGTGTATTTAAATTAATTCAAGTGTGTGTGTGTGTGTTAGTGCGCGTTCCATATGTGTATCGGTTACAGCTCGATGCACGCTGTCGCTGCCTTTTTGGCAATCAAGTCGTTCTGTTGTTGTAGCTGCTGTTTTGTTCTAGCTGGTGCTTTGCGTAGACCGCCGCCGCATTGCCTGAGTTTGGTCAGTAATCGTCAAACAACGCGCGCGTACGCATTTTTCTAGTTCGATACGTTTTTTGCCTGTATTTTTCTTTTTATTAGCTGACATCATTTGGCCGTTGGTCAGACTTGCTCTCTAGCGCTCTCCTTTTCTCTCTCTTCGTTTCACTGTTTCTCTATGTATGTGTGTGAGTGCGTTAAATTGGTGTATCAAAGCTATTGTTAACAAACGGTTTCTCTTTTCTTTTGCTTTTCGTTCTCTTTTCGGCTTTTCAGTCAGTCTACCGTTATGCCTGGCACGTCCTCAAAAGCTGCTCTTGCACAAACGATCGCGCGCTTAGCGTGAACTGGATCCGAGTACGTGTAACGCTTAACGTGTAACGTGTAACGTGTAACGGGTACCAAGCACAATACTCGATATTTTAAGCTGCCATCTGGCTAGCTTTACTCTACAACTTCCTTTTCTTGCCGCCGCTATCTCCCATTTCTTTCTCCGCCTGTCTCGCTCGCTCTCTCTCTATCTCTCTTTCCTACGCTCACTGCTGTCTTTCTCTGTGCCTCAACAATGTATTCAGCGGGTAAATAAACAACGATCTATATGTACACACGTACATACATGCAAGCCATGTGCTGCAACGTTTGCATGTGTGGCATCTGTTCATAAATAATAAGATGATCAATATGCTCTCACCCCATTCTCACTTGCATTCATTCATATGCAGTATTTCACGCAATTTGATTTTATACATATATTTTTAGACCAGTTTAGTTTATGCGTCTGGGTGTCTGTTTCGTTAATATTAATATTGCTTCACAGACGCACGATCATTTTGGAATGTAAACGTGTTTGAACTTATTCCGATCTGCTCCATAGGCCTTAACTGCTTAATTTGCTTTCATTTACTGATAGAGGCACCCATTTGAGCACTCGATCTGCATGAAGTCATCGCCACTCACATTTGATTTGGTCACTTTGCACTATTCCAAGCCGGAAATGGATGATCATCCATTTGTCAACGATCTTACACTAATGTATAGACATACATATACATATATATATATATATATCATACCGTTATATAATTGACCGCATTTCAATGACCCCCATTTAACGTAATATCAGTAGCTTATATTAGCTGCCGCCGTTGTCATCCATTGATAAGCTTCCACATTTTGCTTTCTAATTAGCAGCCGCACAGTGGGTCAGCGATCATTCAGTTCAAATGGCAATATAAGTTTGTTGCATCCCAATTTAAGTTCGAATCAAATAACGGATAAAGCGTTTCCCCATTTGCTTTCCCCATTGCCAATCTTGTTTGTATTCCAAGTATTTGCACTATATGCACCACTGTGCCATATTATTTGATTAAATTGCTTTTATCAATCGATTAGCTCATTGGTTTCATGAACTTCATATCAGCATATGGCAAAGCCTAGCATTTCACGCTCATTCCGTTTATCATGCTTCGCTTTGATTTACATAAGTATATGTGCATACTGATGTATGTATGTGTGTATGTATGTATGTGCGTATTGTACATACATGTGTGTACAAGTGTTGGTTATTGCATTGCCAGCTCACTAATCGGTAATACTGTTTGCAGTGCGCACCCACGACTACGATTATCCCGAATCGGAAATGGACGAGCGTGAGAGTCTCTACTTTGATACGATCTCGCTGGCCGATTCGGAGGCAGCGGCAGCGGCGGCGCATCGCAAGTCGCTATCGCAGTCGCGTAATACCATTTACCACTCGGCGGTGGATCTGGCTGGCGATGAGACGCGCAACAATTTGCGCAATAGCGCCGCTACGGATCATATGAGGCTCGCCTGGCAGCCGGGCTATCGTCAATCGACGGCGCTGGAGCATCTAAATGGTGCTGGTGCTGGCGCCGGCGGTGATCATACGGATGCAGCCATTGCTGCCCAGGTGCTGGCATTGCAAAATGGACGAACACATCTGCCCACCGGCATTGGCGTTGCCGGTGGCTATGGCTACAGCAGATCTGGCGCAGATCTCGGCGGCGGCGGCGGCGGCGGCAACGATGATGAGGTCTCTAGACGCCTTTTAAGGCAAAGTAGCACAGTTTCTAATAAAGATAAGAAATTGCCAATTACATACTCCCAGTGGAAATTGAGGGTAAACAACGATAAACTAAAATCAAAACAAAAAACACAAAAACCAACATACGATCAACGTTTAAAAAAGAAGCACAAGCAATGCAAATACTACTCTATGTCAATATGCCAATATGCCAATATATCATTAATAACAGCTACTCAATGGCGCGCACTCTCCCTTTTATGTTACGCTGCAATCGTCTGTTGCCCGCTCTCTCTTTCTCTCTCTCACTCTGTCTCTCTCGCTCACTCGCACAACTATTGTAATCACTATGCGTTTGTAACCACCAATGCGTTTCATTTCCAGCATTTCATGGCAAAAGCACACGCTCATATGTCCATTCTAAGTCGTTCCACTCTGTCTTCTGTTAGCTGCGTACTACACTTGGCTTGGCTTTAAATGCATTTAACTATTCATCATCTTCACACATATGTACATACATATATATTTATATATTTATATATGTACATACATCACATCATTCACTGCAATATTTTGTTTACTTGCTGTGGCTACATTTCTCACTGTTTTCTTTCTCTTTTTTCTCTCTTTTTCAATAGTTTGCTTGCGGGAATGGGTAATGGCAATTTTTTAGCATCAATACCTCTATGTATATTAATACATATATATATATATATATATATATATATATATATATAAATATACTGTAAATTGTACATAAATTATTTTTAAGGAAGTTGTTAACTTTGCTTTAAACTTAATATTTACACTTTCCGGAAAGTTTTTCATATGATTTTTTTATCTGGTAGCTTCCGTTTATAACAAAGGATTCCATTCTATACATCAAGAGTACAGATACTTATTCTAGCACAAGCTTTTGTTGCAAACATAATTTCCCCTTCGGAATCAATTTTCAGCTGTATTTTTTTGATATTTTCGGCTCGGATGTTTACACTGTTTCAATTGCTTAAATGTTTACAAATGATAATATTGTTAATTATGTTGCTTTTATTGCAGTAAGATTGGACATATTTATATCGAATCCAACTCGAGTTGTATTCATGGAATTCAAAGTTTATTGCTTTATTATGATTTGAGCCCTTTGAAAGCTGCCAGATGAGGGTATGATGCTTTTATTAAAATGTTTGTATCAGGCAGGAGGAAGCGTGGCAGAGCCCATGAAGTATATATATTCCTGATCAGAACGACGAGCTGAGCCGATTTAGCCCTGCCCGTCCGTTTGTTAGGCCAGCTATCGATAACTATTCCCGCTTTTTTGTTATCGATTGAAAACAGTAATGAAATGCAGTTAGTAATATCTCGTTAGGCTTAAGAGCTAGGGTCTTCAAATTTTGCACGTAGTTTGATATTTATTTTATAAAATTTTGACTATCGGCTGCAAATATAGCCAATATGCGAAAGAGTTTGTATGGCATACTAAGCTGGCAAGTACGTCAATGGAATATGTAGATTCTATGCTGAAAATTTCATCGAAATCCGTTCGGTAACACAGAAGTTGTTCGTCAAAACGTTTGACCAATCGCGTAAAGCGCACTCAACTCTCCTACACAAAAGCACACACACACACACACACACACACACACACACACACACACACACACACGCACACTTTCTTATGCATTCTAGCTTTTCTAATCGAAATTGCGATTGAATTGTGTTTCAGTTGACAGCTGCAACTTTAGTTTAAATTTGCAAGTCTTTGTTTAAGCAGGCAGTGAAGTGGCGGTGTTGGTAGAGGCGGTGGGCGGAGCATAGGGGGGGGGGGGGGGTGTTGATTCGAGTCCTGAAGCGAAATCCAAGCCAAGAAATTAACTAAAATGAACAGATCGAACACGCTGCTTAAGCTTTAGGGCAAGCAAAATCTAAGCAAAGGAGTAAATTGAAAAGCTCAGAGTGAACACGGGGCTCAGGGTATTTCCTAGTCGGGCACCCCGACTCGAGCTTTACTTTCAGTTTAATAAAGAAATGCAAAATTCCTCCAGATTATCAACCACTTTCCTTGTTATTTATTTTCGTTTTTTATCAAAGACCCTGGCAGAGAACCGCTGCGACAGCTAGCGATCAGTCAATCATACATATGTGACAAGATCGGTTCAGTTATAGAGCATGTTTTGCACGAATATATGCAAGGCACTGCGCTCCTGCTTGGAGTCGAACAGTGTTACAAAGGATCCCGTAAGATCTGATGCTTGATCAGTTTTTGTTTTTTGAACGCGGCGGCACTCGCACCCACAAGCGCTTGTTGTGTACATCCCAATCCTTGATTTAGATTATGTACATATAGTAAATATGTATATAGTAAATATGTTAAGGATGATTTGCATCCATTCGCACTGAACGCCTTCTAAACTGGTTAACCTATTCGTTCGCAGACGTATCGAAGCTTCGAGGATGGACGCAGCGTGGACTTTGTCTTGGCCTACAACGGGGACGATAAGAGCGCGACGGCGGTGGACAAACGTCGATTCTTCGAGAATAATCTGAAGCGCGAGGGCCTACAGCTGGAGCTGTACAGCCAGCAATGGGTGCACTTTATGAAATTGCATGCGCCGATGGAGGTGCTGTATCGGTATGCGGAAATCCTAAAGATCAAGATGCCAATGAAGGTCATACCGGGCCAGGAGCAAATCATAGCCGAGAGCACGCGCGAACTGAAGTCCTGCTGGAGTCGCATGTGCCGCAGCCTCTTCAGCTCGGTGCAGCTGAACAACGACGTGTTTCCCGAGCGCGGTCAGCGCATCCACATGGAATTCGCTGTCAAATACCTCAAGCTGTACGACACGGAGCATCCCAACTATTTTGATGACAGCACACGGTATTCGATTATCAATTTCATAATGCAGCGCCAGCATTTCGAGAAGGGCGACGAGACGGCTGAGAGTCGGGGCATCGAGAAGCTCGTCGAGGACGGCGTCTATTTGTGCGCCTATGCGCTGCACGATGTGAGCTAAATAAGAGTCGGACATAGATATATAGATATATATATATATATAAAATTAATTTGAATATTTCAGAAGGGCAAACGCGACGATCTGCTCAATGAGTGGGCCAAAATTGGCAATTGGAAGAAGTAAGCGTAGATTTGATTTGATTTGATTTCCGTTCAGTCTTCTCAACGTCGTCCCCATTGGTTTCACAGGCTTCAGCCACTGGACAACATCAAGGACTATTTCGGCGCCAAGGTGGCGCTCTACTATGCCTGGCTGGGCTTCTATACGCAGATGCTAATACCGATTAGCATACTGGGCATATTCTTCTTCTTGTACGGCTTCGTGACGTGGAGCAGTGATCCGATCAGCTATGACATCTGCAATGGCAACGAAACGATCATGTGCCCGCAGTGCGATCGCGGCTGCAAGTTCTGGCTACTAAACGAGACGTGCACTTCGTCGCAGTTCAACTATTTGATTGACAACAAGATGACGATGGTCTTCGCCTTTGTGATGGCCATTTGGGCCGTGGCCTACTTGGAGCTGTGGAAGCGATATTCGGCGGGTCTGGTGCATCGCTGGGGCCTAACCGGTTTCAATCATCACGTGGAGCATCCGCGCCCCCAATATCTGGCCAAGATAAGCAAATCGAAGAAGCTGCAGGACAAGCTTCAAGCAAAAAACGGCTTTGATCCGGACGTGCCCTTCTGGAGCTTCAAGTTTCTGCCCAACTTTACGAGCTACAGCATCGTGGTGTTGTTTGTAAGAATATAATAATATATATATATATAAATATATAAGTATTTGCCTTTACCTTTGTTCGCTTCGCTTGCAGATGTGCATATCAGTGATCGCCGTGGCAGCAATCATCATTTATCGCATGGCACAGCGAGCCTCCAGCTCGATCATTGGCAGCGAGAACTCAATGACCTACAAGATAATGGTATTGCCAATAACGGCCGGTTTCCTGGACCTAATTGTCATATCCGTGCTGGACCTGGTCTATAGCAAGCTAGCGATTAGCCTAACCAATTACGAATACTGTCGCACCCAAACCGAATACGATGAGAGCCTCACCATCAAGAACTATGTGTTCCAATTTGTCAACTATTATTCATCGCTATTCTATATAGCGTTCCTGAAGGGCAAGTTCGTCGGCTATCCCTCGAAATACAATCGGATATTCAACTTTCGCCAGGAGGAATGCAATCCGGGTGGCTGCCTCATGGAGCTCTGCATGCAGCTGGTCATCATCATGGTGGGCAAGCAGGCGGTGAATGCCATTGTCGAGATGCTGATACCATATCTGATGCGCGTCTTCAAGGAGTTCAGTCAGCGCTACGACTTCTTCAAGCGGCGCAACGAGAAGACAGTGCCATCGATCAATCAGTTTACCGAAGACTTCAATCTGCTGCCAGTCGAAAACAATTCATTATATGCCGAATATCTGGAGATGGGTATGCTCGACTACCAAATTATCAAGTCTCTCTCACGCTTACTCTCTCTCTCTCTCTCTCTCTCTTTCTCTCCCTCTGCAGTTGTGCAATATGGCTTCATAACATTGTTTAGCTTAGCATTTCCCTTGGCGCCGCTATTGGCGCTGATTAATAACGTGATGGAGGTGCGTCTCGATGCCATCAAAATGTTGCGCTTCATACGACGCCCCGTGGGCATGCGTGCCCACAACATTGGCGTCTGGCAAAATATTATGTCCGTCGTGACGCACATCTCGGTCGCTTCTAGCGTAAGTTATATGCCCCATCATTTATATATATAGATATGAATATTTGTATATATTCTCTATTTCGTACAGGCCATGATAATTGCATTTAGCACAAACTTTATACCGAAACTCGTTTACAAAGCTACCCACGATGATCCCGAGCTGGATGGCTATCTGAACTTTACGCTGGCTACATTTTACACCAAGGACTATAGGACGCAATCGCTGCTGGATTATAGTAACGAGGCCAACGTAACGCTGTGCCACTATATTGAGTTCCGCAATGATCCCTGGGAGAACCCACCCTATAAGCGGCCCATGATTTACTGGAAGATCCTGACGGCCCGCCTGGCCTTCATTGTCATCTATCAAGTAACGTTCCCTCTGTCACGTCGCATTGATATCGTTACCATGCTGTAATTTGTTATTCAATTCTTTTGCAGAATATCATAAGCATGCTGCAGGGCATTTTGCGTTGGGCTGTGCCCGATGTGTCGGCCCGCCTGCTGAAGCGCATCAAGCGCGAAAACTTTCTGCTGCGCGAGCGCATCATCGAGTACGAGAAGGAGCTGACGCAGTCGCTGGCCCAGCAGCAGGAGGAGTCGCTGCGCTTGCGTCTAAATGGCAACAATGCGACGACTCTTAACGACAATGCAACAACTTATGTCTAAGACTCAATCAGCGGCATGTCCATAGTGTTTCTTGTTGTTAGCTGTTGTTGTTTGTATTGCCGTTTGCCAGCGTTGCCAGCGTCAAGTCAAGTGCATTTTAGTTGTTAAGCGTCGTATTGTGAATGATTTACATTTATAGATAAAATATAGCTTATATACTTTTGTATATAATTAACGTCACATGCATTGAGTTCGCAACAACGTACTTAAAGTGTCAGCTGCTCAAAACAATACACACGCTGTGAGCAAGTAATTGCCCCAGCCTCCTTTCGTGCCCCCCAAATACCACTAAAAAGCAAAACAATCTTTCAGCCCCGCCCCACCCTGAAAACAGTAAAAACAGAAAAGAAAATAAAAACTTTTATGTAAATTTGTATAAATGCCAAAATGAAAAGCAATGAGATTTGTATATATGCCATATGCATATATATATAATGCTTATATATAGCACGTATATATATGATTGGCTTAGCTCAGAGAATTTGTACATCCTTGTAATGCAAATGTTTGACGACTGCTATGGACTCGCGTCCAAAGATCACTTCGAGTTATTTAATCATACACATGTTGTTTTCGATCTAACCTTTTGTTTGTACCTAGCACGATGTGTCGAATATTTATATATATATATATATGTATGTATATATCTGTGTATATATATCTGCTGCTGAGCCAAAAACTCCATTAGATTGCGAGTGCTTATCATGTTTGTATATAAGCAGCATCAACATAAACAATCCAATGTACCTTATACCATATATAAACACACACATACATACCTATACACCCACATATATGTATTTGTATAGTACGTGCTGCTTATGTGAGTTGTTCAAACAATTTTGTGTTACTTTCGCCCAGCACAAACGAAAAAAAAAACAAACAAAAATATGTTTTATACAACAAAATAGAAATGATTAAGAGATGCAATTAATATATTTTATTATTTTGATAAATATATTTATATACAACAAAGAGAGAGAGAGAGAGAGAGAGAGAGAGACAGCGAGCGAAAGAGAGAGACAGAGAGATGTGCTGCGATGTACAGAATGTTCTAAATGTAAATTTATACATAGAATTGTTAACAATTTACAAAAAAAAAAAAAAAAATAAATAAAGCTAAGAAAATGAGATTAAAAATGAACAAAAAAATAAGATGAAATCAACGATAACAAAAACGAAATATATAAATGAAAGTTGTTTGAAATTGGAGAACTAAATTTCTAAGAAGCTTTACTTGGGTAAATCTTACGAAAAGACTTGAAAGGAACCAGGCTTTGTGGGCTCACAGGCAAATGAAGAGACTTAGGCGACATAGAAAATATGTCAAATAAAGAGTTACAAGCGGATATTATATGGATAAACTTATACAAGTTATAAGGAAGGTATGGATAATATATTTACATATAAAAAACGCATGGAAAGAGCTATAGAAGCTATAAGGATGCTACGGATAATATAAAATTACATATGGATAACACATGGATAAAGAAAATAGCTAGATAGAAGAAGATAGACTTGTAGAATATATAAGGATAGTTTGGATAATATATAATTATATATGGATAACACAAGGATAGACTTGTAGAACATATAAGGATAGTATGGATAATATAGAATTACATGTGGATAACCCAGGTATAATGTTATAGAAGATGTAAAGTAGGTATGAAATTAATATAGATAGACTTATAGCAAATATAATAATAGTATGGAAAATCGTAACTGAAGATTGAGTTATGGATAACATATGGATAATTTGTGGTAGATATAAAGGTGGCATGGATAATATATAGAAGATGTACAGATGTAGAAAATTTGTAGATAATCATAAAGACTTCGATATGGATAACATATGGATAATTTGCGGTAGATATAAAGGTGGCATGGATAATATATAGAAGATGTACAGATGTAGAAAATTTGTAGATAATCATAAAGATTTCGATATGGATAACAAAGAAGGTATGAGGATGGTGTAGATAATATGTGGAAAATCATAGCTGATGACTGATATGTAGATAGACATATAAAAGATATTGAAGATCTAAAGTTTCCATGGCATTACACATATTCGACATTCGAGATTAAGTTGGCACTCTTGCTCCCCACTATAGCTCGGTCTAGCCGAAACTGAAAAGGCTTATGAGAGGCCAACGCTGTGCTGAGATTGAGCGGATAAAGATGACATCAAAGGAGCAGCTGAAGGGGAATACTGCAACTGCCTAAAAAAGGAGAAAACCTGGTCAGATGACCTTGAAGGCGAGGAAAACAGAGGACATAAGTCAGTCGATAATGAAAGTTGAATTGATCTTAAGATCAGCCAGTTAAAGGAATCATCAGCTCAAACTTATCAAAGATTGGCTAGAGAGAAGATCCTAATGAAAGAGATCGAGGCTAAGAGTTTTAGCCAAGTTAGAAATTGAATCATATAAATCGATCATATATCATCGATATCATGCTTTATGATACAAAGTAGACTGCATATAGATGGATTGTGAGGAAGCACACTTCATATAGACAGATGCTGGGCTGATCAGCGATGATCTTTCATAACACACGCTCTAGTGCTACAGGTCAGGTAAGCAGCGAGCAGAACCGGAAGCACGAGCACTATCTAAACACATATCCATCATATCATATCTATCTACAGATGGTGTCAAATCAATTGGAACAGCAGCTGTAAAGCGAGTTGGCTGGATGCAAGCAATTGAGGCATATCGAGAGCTTGTGTCACACAACACTTCACTCAGCGAGATCAGCGAGATCATCGAGCGTGTTGCTAATCAAATTGCGAGCAGCTAAATTGAAAAGTCCGTTACCAACTGGCCGCCTCCAGCTGGCAGCCTACGTCAATTGTCTTTGGTCAGTCGAGCATTATAGTCGGGCGTAACTGGAGCTTAGGTCTGTGTGGAAGCAGCGCAACGCTTGACTGCAATTTGCATAACAAAAATTCAAAATAATCTCACAAATCTCGCTCAACTTTAACCCGCTTTTGTTGATTTGTTCGTTCTTCATCTCCGCTGAGCGTAAGATGAGCCGCAGCTCGGTAAGTAGTTAAGATGCTGCGTCGCCTGTGTCGAGTCGCCGCGACGTCTTGGCGCTCAGCTCAATCGAACTGCCACAGCGTGCGTCATTCACAACGGATCCTCCAATACGCTTCAATATATATACAAATCTTTCATTATCTTTGACAGCCCAAGATCTTGAAGCAGCTCAGCGCAGCGGAACGGGAAAAGTTTCTCAATTCCTTCGATGTCGTGTTCTGCGATTGCGACGGTTTGTTCCACTGATGTCGTACACTATATATAGCATATAGTATATAGTATAACTCTACTATACATATATAATAGTCTATGTATACTATGCACTATATAGACAAAGTTTTTGTATTACTTTTGAAAGTTTTTTCAAGCTTCAATATTTTGAGTTAGCTCAAAGCTGCAGGGGAATACAGTTATACAGATCTATGTATATGCATATATATAGTATATATACTATATATATAGACATACATTTGACAAAAGTAATCTTTGCGTCTAAGTTTCTATATAAACCAAGTCCTTTGCTCGTTCGTTCCACGCTCAATTCGCTGCGAACTGAAGTGGAATGAAACACAGGCCTAGGGCATGTGGTCTAAAGTGGAAACGGACTGGGCTTGTTTGCAGGTGTCGTCTGGTATACGCTGCGCGACTTTATACCCGGCTCGGCGCAGGCCCTGGCGGAGCTGCAGCGTCGCGGCAAGCGGCTCACCTTCGTGACCAACAACAGCATCAGCTCCGTGGCGGAGCACTTGCACAAGTTCGCCCAGCAGGCGCAGCTGCATGTGCTGAAGGTAGGTCGTCCACTGATGTGTGTTAGCTGGTTTGTCAGCCATTATTGTTGGCCAGCAGGAACAGATTGTGCATCCGGCGCAGGCCATTTGCGATCACCTGCAGGCGATTGGCTTTGCTGGGCTGATCTACTGCCTGGCGACGCCGTCGTTCAAGCAGCTGCTGCGCGATGCTGGCTTCCGGCTAACGCAGGAGGTGAGTTGGTGGGCTCGGGGCTCTTGACAGCGATTCAACCGGTTTCATTTGGACAGCCCGAGGGCGTCATCATACGAAGCCTGGCCGAGCTGCGTGAGGCCATCTTTGGCGGCGAGCCCGTGGCAGCGGTCATCATCGATGTGGACTTCAATCTGACGGCGACCAAGCTGATGCGCGCTCACATACAGCTGCAGAATCCCAACTGCTTGTTCCTGGCCGGCGCCGCCGATGCGCTGATACCTTTCGGCGATCGCGACATCATTGGTAGGCATTGCCCCAGCAACGGCTTGGCCTATGGCCACTAAATGATTGCGTCTCTTCCCAGGACCCGGGCCATTCATCGACGTTGTCGCCCAGTCCACTGGCCGCCAGCCGACGGTGCTGGGCAAACCGGGCGAGGCACTGCGTCAGCTGCTGCGCCAGCATCACGCCCACATACCGGCCAATCGAGTGCTCTTCATCGGCGACAGCCTGGCCAGCGACATTGGCTTTGCGCGCGCCAGCGGCTATCAGACGCTGCTGGTGCTCACCGGCGGCAGCAGCGAAGCGGATCTGGCCAAGCTGCCCGCGGGCCATGCCCAGATGCCCGACTATGTGGCCGACTGCCTGGGCGATCTGTGCGCCAAGCCCCACTAAAGGCAAACACTTTTCCATACAACATTTATAACTTAGATAAGCCCAGAGTCCTAGAGTTCTAGATACAATAAAAACTATAGTAATATATAAAATATGGGCAAGAGAGAGGGAGCGAGAGAGATTAAGATTAACTTGATCGATCCGAGTCGAAAGAATAGTTGAAGTGCTTCAATACAATATCTTATCGGAAATTTGATATATATAGTACATAAACAAAATGAAAGCGGAATAGGTACATGGGCAAGTTGGGGTTACGCTACTTAAGATTACACAAGGTCACCTTTAACCGTTACACTATATATATATATATATATAAACATATAGATGCTTGCACGGATCTAGCCATGCGCCTTGGGCACCAGCTCGGCCAGCACTGACACCAAGTCGAACACGCTGTCGGCATAGTAGTCGGGCAGCAGTTCGGGATCTGTTTCGGCCAGCAGCTGGTCGTGTGTGCAGCCGCCGGTTAGCACGAGCAGCGTTTGGAAGCCGAACATGCGGCCGAAGCGCACATCCTGGGCCAGCATATCGCCGATCATGAGCACGCGCCGTGGATCGCTGATGTTGTGCTGCTGGAGCAGCATGTCTCCCAGCGCACGACCCGGCTTGCCCATCACAATCGGCTGCTTGCCGCTGGCCTCGACCAGAATGGAGGCGAAGGCGCCGGGTCCGATGATGTTGAGGCCCTTGCCAACGGGCAGCAAGCGATCTGTGGCGCCGGTGATTAGCAGGCAATCCGGCTGACGCAGATAGAGATGGGCGCGCAGCAGCTTGGACGAGGTAAGATTGAAGTCGACATCGATGACCACGGCACGCACTGGCTGCTTATCGAATATGTTGCGCGCCAGATCCTCATAGTTGTCCTCAATGAAATGATTGGGCTAAACCGTGAGGCAGTGAGTGAAATGGACCAACTTGGATGGCTAAAGCGGAGCTACTTACGCCGTCGAGCAGCTGAAAGCCCGCCTCCTGCAGCACCGCCTTGAACTGCGGCGAGGCCATGATATAGATGAGTCCCTCGAACTTGATGCTGCGCAAATAGTAGACCAGGGTCTGGGCCGGATGCCAGATCTGCTGCGGCGCCACTTGCAGGTTGGACTTGGCAAAGCGACGCACAGTCTTCTCACTAGTGCGCACGCTGTTGTTGGTCACATAGGTCAGCCGCTTGCCGGCGCGCTCGAGAGCCGCATACGCCTGGCTGGCATTCGGGACCTCCGTGTCCAGGTTATAGATGACGCCATCTATGTCGCTGAACACCCAGTCAAACGAGTCCACAAACTGCCGTCGCTGCTCGGCGCTCAGCTGCAAAATATGCTGCGGCTGTACCAAAAACAAACAAAAATAATTTAAAAAATAATCCATATAAATGGTCCAAGTGAATGACTAACGGTGCTCATGTTGTTGATGTTGTCGCTGCTGGGGCTCGAAGCGGTCGCTGGCACGTCTGGCAGTCAACTAATGTGATAAACTCGACTGGCGCATCATAAAACGCCTAAACTGCAAAAATATTAGTAATAAGAACACTAAAAAAAAAACAATAGAAAATAATGATTAACACTTTGCAGCGGTAAGCTAAAACGCAGACACTGGATTTGTCAGCGCTGCCATCGCATCGTCTCGAACGCAATACCAATAACAACCACAAAATATTAGTTGCTTGTTGTTGTGCCCATAGCAAACTGCCGTTGCTTATCGGCACTACATATTTACTACACGCGCGTTAGCTCTCTCTCTCTCTCTCTCTCTCTTTCTTTCTCGCTCCGTCTCGCACTCAAACATTTTCACACTCTTACACTCTCGCTTTCTTCAAGTGCGCGCTCTCGTTCATTGCACTACCACTACACACACATGCACATACGTACACATCAATACGTATCTTAAAAGACGCAAACGATTGCAAAGCCGTGTACGAATCAGCTATTTAACTGGAAATTTAACAATATACATATATATGCATATATATATGTGTATCTTCCATTCAGGAAATGCTTGCAGCAACTGTCAGGGCTATAAAAGTGCATGCATATGCATACACATCTGACTTACGTCTAACAGCAACGTATATAAAACTGTACCAAAAACGTGTGTTTAAAATGTACCAAAAATAGGTACACTTTAACATTACTGTTGTTTTATGGTAATTTTCTGTTTTTATAACTTTTCGCTGACAGATAATTTATAGCATTATATAATTATTTTTATGACATGCATTTTCAAAGATATTGCTCATTTCATATTCTCCAAATATATATACATAAAATACATTTCTTTTCGGGCGCATATATACAGGGTAAACTGTTTATTTTTATATTTGTATGCATATTTCGTGTTACAACTACAATACAACTTATTCTGGTCTAAATTACTAATAACTAAGCTAATCTAGTAACTACAACCAAAACAAAAAAAAAGATAATAATAATTATAGTTATGAAAAGGTGAAATTGAAACCCCTTCGGGCGGGCTGAACGCAAGACAATGTGAGTGTTGTAATACTTAGGCATAGATATGTATGAAATAAATATCGAGCATGTGTATGTTTCGAAGTATATAGTATTAGTATTAAAAGTAAACGAACAATTTCAAAATCACAAGGCCTAGTGCAGTGGTAAAGATTGATTGACAGTTCACAATATATATATATATATCTATATATAATGAAATGTTGAAATTAACATTAATAATATCCGTGTTAAATTGGGAGAATTAGTTTTTCTTTTCTTTTTGTTTTGGAATAGAATATTCTCTGCTCTAACTGATAAATATTGTAAAAACAAATCAAATTGACGAACAACAACATAGTGTGTAGGTGTAGGTGTGTGTGTGTGTGTGTGTGTCCATGTGATCCGCAACGTCGCCTACACAGCGTGTTTTGTATCGTGTTAATCCTTCTCCTGCTGCTGCAGCAAAGCCGAAATTTCCTGAAACTTGTGGCGATAATCCACGCTGCTCTCACTGATCACCGACATGGTTGACGACGGATCCTGCATCGAAGGCAAATATGAATTTTGTTTATATGATGCACTTGACAGCTGCTGCCACAAGCCACTCACCAGTATATCGCGCGTGGCATCAAAGTCGTCCAGATGCCCCAGCAGACTGGTCAGCGAAAAGTCATTAATATTCTCCTCCAGCCAGCGTGCATTCGACGTGGAGTCGCGCAGCAAGTGCATCGGACTGACGCTCCCATTGAAGAAGTTTTGAGCTGCGTGCGATAGAATTAGTATTAAGACAATGTCAAGATCTGGGCATAGAATGAAAGAGGACAGACACTGTGGCATGGAGACACACACAGAGCGAGCGAGGGAGGAACGAATGGAAATGGAATGGGAAATGTTAACATTGGCTGGCTGGCAGCTGAGATCGTCTTACTGGTGCTCTCATCTTGCGCATCCTCTGGCAGGGTGGTGCTGCTGGCTGGCAGTGATGTTGGCTCCGCGGAAAAGTCCAAATTAGGCATGTCCAGGCCGCTGATGCCCGCGCCGCTGCAGTCGCTGCTATTGTAGTCATTGTTGTTGTTATGGCTGTGGCTGTGGCTGCTGCTGCTGCTGCCGCTGTTGCGATCCTCGACTTCAGACTGCTGCTGGCTAGCGCTGCTGCCGCTCATTGCGTTCAGCTTGGACAGCACTGAGCTGCTGTCACTGTCGCCGCTTGTGCTGCTGCTGCTGCTGCTGCTGACGCGTTCGATGGGCTCGAAGAGACCGTTTTGCAAATTGCGCAGGCTGAGCAGATCGTAGGGCTGGTCAACTGAGGAAGGCGGCAGAAGGCAGCGCTGCACCAGCACCTGCCGCGATAGCTTCTGGCGCGTGAGCTGCAAAAGCGAATAAAATTTATATCAATCTTGGTATGATCTTGACCAATTTAAGTCAAGCACGCACTTTGGTTAGCTGACGCACTGGATCGATGATATTGATCAGGGGTCGACGCACTGGCAGCATGGGCGTGCGAAAGATGACCTCGTTGCCATCGCCTGGAGTTGTGGTGGCTGCGCCAGTTCCCAATCCAGTTACCGTGCCCGTGCCAGAGCTTGCCAGGTTGCTGAGCCATCGCGCCTTGTTGATGAGATCGCGTTTGCGATCGCAGCTGTGGCCGCAGTTGCATTGACGCTTGCGCACACGCTCGCTGAGATTGGCAACGAGGAGCAGATGCTTCAGCTTGTTGCTAACCGTGGCCGTTGTGATGGCCTTGACGCGTTCCACGCTATCACAGTCGTTGGCATTGTACGGCAGCGAGGCTGACGATGCGGACGAGCTCGACGATGTGCTGACGCCTGTGGAGCCGCTCGGTGTGCCCAGCTCCGGCTCACACCAATAATACTCGAGCTCCAGCTTGGAGTCCTGGCCCAGCACCACATACAGATCACCAATGGTTATATCCGCTGAGTTCCATATCGTCCAGCCTCTGCGTATGCGCTTGATCACGTCATCGCTCAGCAGCGGCTTGAAATTGCGCGCTGCGGCAGCCGCCTTGGCGCCTTTGCCGCCGCCAGCACCTAAGGCATCACTACGCTTGGCACGCGTTGGCGCCGGCGCTGGAGCTGGAGCCGGAGCTGGCGCTGGAGCGGGTGCAGCTGGGGCAGCCACTTGTGCTGCAGCCGTAGTGGTAGTGGTGCTAGTGCTGGCTGTTGGCTCAGCGGCGTCGCCAGCGTTTGTTGTGGTTGCGAGCAGTTCGTTGATCTCCTCCGTTAGCTCGTCGCCACTGCTGTTCTCCAGCTTTACATGATTGTTGCCCTCGACCAGCTCGTCCACGGACTTGTCGTGCGCCGGACTGGACAGCGGCTTCAGCTTTTTGGTCTCCGGCGAACGCTTCTCTGAGCCGCTCTCGGTGCGTGCACGCTTCGCGCTGGCAGCAGCCGCAGCTGCGGTGCTATCCAGCGTCTCGCTGCGCACCTTCACGCCCAGACGCTCCTCGTAGGCGCCCAGGCATATGTTGACGCTGCTCAAATACGCCGTAATGCTGAGCAGCGGACGATGTATAGGCACGCCAGGCTTGGGCAGAAAGCAAACCGCTGGCTCCGTGAAAGCCTCGGCTGGCTCTGCGCTACCGGCTGCGCTGCTGGCTAGCAGCTGCTCCTCCGCCAGCCTGGCGTCCACACTGCGCCATTTGTACTGAAACGTTTTAATGAACGTGATTAGCTTTTTGTGCAGCGGCACAATTGCGCGTCCTCGCGGGTTCTGTGCCAACGACTGGACGCGACCAAAGGCCTCCATGTTCGCCGGGTTCACCAGCACCTCGATCTTACTAGGCAAGCGTATGTCCTCCAGTGTGTCTGTAAGCGACGTATAGAAGTGATTTCGTCTAGATTAGCTTGAAGCCAGGGAAGACTCACCGTCGAGCTGATTGAGACGACGCAGCGCCTTGCACGAGGGCGTCTTGATGCGTATATTCTTGCCCTTGCTGCGCACCGTGATGTGGCCCTGATAGATGAGCTGCTTCAGCTTCATGAAATGCTTCTCCGTGAGGAACTGCAGCTTGCGACGCATTTCGCCATAGTTGATCAGCGTGTACAGCTCCTGGGCGGGCTTCTTGAGCTCTGGGAATTGAGAGAGTGGAACAGTGGCAGTGGCTGGGCCGACAAGGACTACTAGCAAGGACTTACCATCCGTGAAGCGAACATATTTGCCAATCTTGTGATATGTCTGATAGTAATGCTGGCGCACTTGGTCCTTGGTCTTGAAGCTGTAGTCGCTGCTCGAGTTGCGACGCTTCAGTTTGGCATTGATGCAATTGGCGACGGCCTCAAAGTCCTTGCCAAATTCGTTGAGTGCATCGAAGAAACAGTTGCGTTCGAGATTTGTCCAGGTCGTTTTGCTGGCAGCGCGCAGCTGTGAGGGCGTCTTCTGTGCGGCCTTCTCCTCCTTCTTGCTATGTTCCCGTTCAGCCGGCGGCGGCGTCATCGGACGCGTCAGATCTAGCTTCATCTTCTGTATGACACGCGCGCTGGCCCGTGTGCCCGGGCAATTCTGTGTTGTCACCGAGCCGAGCAGCTCCTCGGGCTCAGCAGCGCTGGCCGCTGCTGTCGCTGTTGCCAGCTTGAACTGTAAACCTTTGCCATTGGCATTGGTTGTGCTCGCGCTGGCTGCACTGGCTGCACTGGTTGCCGACGCTTCGGTGACAACGGGAACAGCAACAGCAACAGCCACAGCAGAGTCGGCTGAAGACTTTACACTTTTACACATGCTGCTGTTGTCTTCCATTTTATGCCACTGGCACTGGCGGCCCTCCCACGGCAAACCGACTAGCTATAACGAATTATAAAAATAAGCCTTGTTATTATGCTGCCACGAGTGATTCGGCACGGCTAGCATCGAGAGATTCCGAACTCTAAGCGGACTATTAGCAAACTTTGTGCGACGCCAGCGAAAAAATGGCGCTCGCCAATGGGTCAAGAAGTTGATTGTGTGTCGCTGTTTGTTTGCGTTCGGATGCCTGTTATCGTTTGGCCACTGGCTGCATATTGCATTCAATCGAGCACTTACCCTGAAATGCGTTAATTATTTATATTGTGTTTGTTTTGTTGTCGTTTTGGCTTTTATTTATCTTCATTGTTTTGCATTTTTAGCAGCGTATTATGTTATGTTAAGTCGCGGGTATGGCTATTTGGACCGTTAACATATGCATAACATAGCTATGTTATGTTTCAGATTACGTTACTCAATCTGCGCTTACGTTACAGATTTATGCATATACATTGCTGATTCAATTAACTTAAATTACTATTTTCCCATGAAGTTAAATGTTTTTCAGCTTTATGGTTGCGCATATTTTATAGATTTTTTTGGATATATCACCTTAGGCATTGCCTTCTCATTTTATTTAGTAAATTTAAAAATTTTAATTTAAATTAACCCCACAAAAGTGCCTATTACATTTTATTTAAATTTAAATTCAAAATGAATAAAATATTTGTAAAAAATAAAATGAACATTAAAGAGACCTGAATAAGTAATATTATAATAAGGGTGATCTAATATCTTAGTTTTATTACTTACTGTAAACTCAGATTTAGGTAGTGTAGAAAGTTTTTCATTTGCGTTTTTAAAATGTAATGTCTCGTAACGGAACAGAAGGTTGCGTTTAACAGTGTACGTTAACGTTTAACAGCAGAAGCGGAGTAAAATTATCATAAAATTGCCATTTTTGTAAATGTAAAAATTTATGCAACAATCTTAATGTTTTTTCGAATATGTTTAAGATTAATTAATAATGGTGTGTTTAATAATTGGCAGCTTATGCAAATATTGAAGTGTTCATTATTTATAAACAAAAATCAGCTGACAGGCAATTGAGTAATTTCTTTTACAGATATTTGTGGCTACAGCAAATGCAACCCTGTGTGCGCGCGTAGCTCAGCTGTGGTGAGTTAAGCATTTAAAAATATTGGCGAAACAAAAACAAAACCCGCTTAGCAAAATTAAATTTATTTGTCCTAAAAATATGAAAAAAAAGAATTGCTTTGCGCTTGCGTGCATCACAAATAAATACCGATAAATATTAAAACTAACACAACTGCAACGAGTATGGCAATGAGCATTATTTTTTTCTGCAAAGGAAATAAAATACAAATAAATAAAATTGAGTGTGAAAGTTGAAGGGCAATTGAATTACTTTGCGCGCCTTTTCCCGGTATTCGTTGGCCTTGTCGAGCTCCGTGCCGCCCTTCTCAGTGTAGAGCGTCGCTTGATTCGCATGGAATTCCACGCGCTGTATCGTCTCGCTCTGCTCCATGACGAGCGTTTGGATGCGCATAAACAGCGCATGGACATCCTCAATGGACTTCTCCAACTTGCGCAGTTCGTTGAACCGGTCCATCAGATCACGCAGCGTCTGCCGTTCCTTATCTGTCTCTTGCAGTATCTAAATAAAATTAGTTTTTGTTTTTTCTTTTGTTTATAAACTCAGCTCATAGCCATGGCAAATGGACTCACATTGTCGACAAAGAGCTTCGTTGTCTTGTTCTCTATCAGCAGCTCAATCTCCTGTTCACTGGCCTCTGCATTGACTAAAGAAATGGCCAAAATGCCGAATGCATTGGAATTAATTCAACCTTCGACCGGCCACTTTCGTTCACTTACTGATTTTGGAGTGCAAGCGAAGATTCTTCTTCACCTTCGTCTCATAGTTCTGCAGGAACTGTTCGTTCTTTTGCCATAGATTGATGAAGGTCTGGTAAAGGCCGTAAAACAGGGTGCGTTTCATGCGCGCTTCCAGGCTGTAGTCCGTCTCTGGCGGCAGGTTCGCTTTGAACTCCCTGAACCGACTCATCAGGTGATTGCCCAGTCGCAGATTCTTGTTGTGCAGCTCATCCATTTCGTTCTCTGCGGTAAACATACACATGAATAGCATGCTGCCAGTGTCAACGGTAATGTGTGCTCACTGTACCTACCGCTGAAGGTGCGCAAATGGATGGTCTGCGACATGCGCTCCATGGCATCCAGATTGCTCACGATTTGCGACAGTTGATAACGAATTTCCGAATACTGCAATGGAGATTAAATATAGTAGTGCATATACAGATATACAGATATATATATATATATATGTATATATATATGGAAATTATACTGAACCGCATAAATATCCGATTTATAAATGAATTGGCTCAATTAAATGAAAGCATTCAGTAACAGTGACTATATAATGTCTATATCTGTCTAGTATTCCTTAGCATATCGGTTCATTAAGCCTTTTAAAGCGCATATTTTCTTATATATTATGTCAAGATCTTAACAAGGATTTACATATGGCAACAACATTCTTGTTTTTTTCTTTTCATTTATGTATTTTATTAATTAGACGTTGCTACACTTCGCTTATCACGCGGTTCGATTGAGTAATTCATTTCTGATTTTGACGCCGCTCGCTGAATCATTCATATGGCCATCAAGAACTGTATGATAAACAGTTAGAATTCAACGAGTATTGGCCTGCTTACTAACGCAGACCAGTGATGACAGCGTGTCGTTTACAAAAGAAACACGAGTCACGATCCGCTTTTGTGTGGTACTTTCAATAGAAGACTATCTTTTATCTCTTTCTTTCTACTCTTTACACGTATCTAATTTTAACAATGTTTATTTCTGATTCAAGTTTCATTCATATTTCTCACAAATAATGCACGATATGCGCTCCTCTCTAGTTTCGATACACTCACAGTTATGCTCGCACACACATAAATATATACACGCGCACGCATACTGGCACACACGCACACACTTACCGGATTCAGAATAGCATCCACATTCGTTCCTTGCTGCGACATTTTGCTACGATCCTTATTGTTTTCCACGTTGTTGTTGTTGTTGCTGGTTAGGGATTCGGTGGTGGCGTTGTAAGCGCTGAGCAACAACGAACCGTTCGATGATGAAGACGTTGAGTTGGCGCTCAGTGAGCGCTGCAAAATAGTTAACAAAATGCTCAAATAGTTAACAGCTTGAGCTCGACACAACAATACAATTTATTTTCGAGCATCGCTGCTGCAGCGATGCCGACGTAGCTCAAACTAAAACTTCGTGCTTGATTTAGACTCTTTTTCTTCTTCTTCTTTTTGGCTAGCGATCTGCTCTCTCTCTCAAGGGGCACGATAGGCGCGAAATGCACAATCTGGCAGTGGTGTGCATAATAAAAGCTGGCCAGCAAATTGGAAATTCGAATAACAGTGGGCCTGGGAGATGGCCCTCACATGAGGCCTACTTTATCGCTCTTATCTGTGGGCAATCTAGCTGCTTGCGTCGCTGATAAAATGGCCCAAGCTTAACAGTGACAACACGCAGCGCCCCTTCCTGCAGACAAATGGCAAGATAGTGCTAATACCGGCCGTGGAATGTTGAGTAGTCTTTGGCAATGCCGGCAAAAACCAAAACACACGTAACTAGACGCATCGAAAATCCAAATTTGAAATTTCAATTTTAAATAAAACATGTCCTTTTTTTATTATTCATTTATTTGTTTTCAACTCTACCCTAAAGTACTGCCTAACAATGGGCGTCACAGGAGGTTATTTATGAAGCACTTATGCAACACTTTTTTCTTTTTGCTATTATTATTTTGCATTTTGGCACACTGTATTTGCACAATAAACAAGTGAAGCTTGCTCTCTCATAAAAAAAAGCAAACGGAAATACATTGGCGCTAATAACTTTAACAAAAAACCAATTTACACAACGACTCACCTGTAAAAGCTCTGGCAGCCTATCTCTGGCCATTGTGATTCTGTTTAGCGTGCGCGCGAGTGTGTGTGTAGGTGTTGTAAATTTAGTTGTTGTTGTTGTTGTTAGCGTTTAGCGTTGATTTTGTAAGCAGTGACGCGATACATTTACGTATATTTCTTTTTGTTTTAGTTAGTGTTTAAGACCACTTGTTTTTATTGCTTTGCACATGCAGTAGGATAAATATATTTTGTAGTTTTATACTTTATATGTAAGCGGCAGTTGTTGTTGTTGCTTTGCATAATCGACAGTGCAAACTGCGCGTCGAGCTTTGTGCGCGCTGTTATTGTTGTTGTTTCTGTTTTTTCGTGTTATTGTTGTTGTTGCTGCTTCTTCTTAGCTCGGGACACTTGAACGACGGCAACAGCTGTGCTCTAACTGTGCGTACGCTTCTGCTGTCAGTGAACAGTTACGTGAGAGTAACGTACACAAACTGAGAGAGAGTAAAGAGCGCGAGAGTACGGTATCAAAGTTGATAAGTAACGGTGCTTATCGGCGATGCCTTTGTGGTTAGTGTATGGCGTGTGGTGGGGGAGTGTGAGTGTTCCTGCTCGTTATCGCACTACAATTGCCGTTATATTTGCAATTGTATTCGTGTTTTGAATTGTGTGCCCCGTTTGCATTGACTCTGGTAGTTTGCACTTTATTTTGTCATTGACTCTTGCACCACGTTCATTGAATTTACCAAACAATATAATAACCATGCAGACACAGAGACAGAGGGAGAACGAGTGCGAGAGTGTATAGCAATATTTATAACTTTAATTAATTGCAACAAGTTTTTATATAATGTATATGTTTTTTATTTCTATAAATATTTTATAATTGAGATCTCTTCACGCCGCACGTCGCCTGCTAACTAAAAGCGCCGGCCGCAAAATAAATTCCATATAGCTAGCTTCTCCGCGTCCGAAGCTGCCACTGAGATTTCTTTCAATTTAAAGATTAGCACAAAGCGCGCATATACAAACGTATGTACATGTATGTGTGTGTGTGTGTCTGTATGTGTAGCACAGATAAAGTTATGTATTATGTGTAAGTTAGTCGTCCGTTTGTCTGTCTCTCTGCAATTTTCGGCAGCTATTCTAGAAATTGAACCGGTTGCGACGCTCTATGAAAAATGTGTTAATTGCCACTTTTTTGCGTTTTTTTTTTACAAGTACAACTTTTTTATGCTATTCAACAGCAACAATAACAACGCCGTTCAATTGAAGGTAGCGACGTCAACGGCAACGGCAACGGATCCAAAAGTCACTTGCGCTAATTAGTTGAACTTTTTCCTATTGCTTTTTGCTGCTGCTGCTGCTGTTGTTGTTGTTGTTGCTGTTATTTCGTGCTTGCGGTTGCAAAACGCTTATAAGCTCAACGACGACGACGACGGCGATGTCGACAGCGTCGCTGCAAATTTGTTTACTTCTCATTCTCGTTCTCGAATTGCCAGCAAAAAGCGCACGACGCAACGTCCGTGGGTCACAATTCTCAATTCTCAATTCAGAATTCAATGCATTCCATTTGCGACAATGGAACAGAGTGAGGAGCAAATTGATATCGAGTGATAATATATGCAAGCATACATACACACACACCTATATATATGTTATATTTATAGTGTAACTGCATATGTGCTTTATAAATGATATTCATTGTTGCCTAATGGATAAAATGGAAGCAAAATAAAACTGAATTTGTTCACATACTATATAAATATTTACATACATATCCATGCGACGCCTTGAAGGGCTAAATGCTATCAACTAACAGCGTGTGTCGAGTGAAACCTCAGGAATGCAAGATTCATACAAAGTGACTATGCCATTCCATGGAATTGACTAAGATACCCTGTAATATCTGCTTTAGAGGGTATGTACCAGGTAGCATGTGGTGCGCGGTATCCCCTAGTCGAGCATCGACGTTCGCTTATTCAAAGTGAACTTTGATTTATCACCAACAAAGTCGAACGTCGCGTTGAATTTGATTGAAAGAAAATCTGTCTCGATATGCGGGTAAATACTATATATAAATATTCGCATATAAGCTGCACTCGAGTTATATATAGACGTGACTCAGTCGCAACAAACCAGAGGAAAAAAACGACAAAGTCCCTCCTAAAGCTGATCATGAGTCAAGCGAAGTGAAAGCTGAATTTGATTTCAGAAAAAATCGCATTAAATTTAAGAGGAATCAGCGAGAGAAGCTAAAAAGATTGAGATAGATAGATCGAGAGAGAGAGAGAGAAAGAGAGAACAAAGAGAGATGCAATTGGATCTAGAAGCAAAGAGAGGCAGAACGGCAAAGAGAGGGGAGAGAAAAAGAGAGTACGAGAGAGGGGGGGGGGGGGGAAAGGAGCAGAGATGAGGAGAGAGAGAGAGAGAGAGCGAGCGAGCGAGCGGTCTTATGTATCTTCATAGAGAGTTGAACTTTTGATAGAATAACAATAATAATAATAATAACAATAACAATGATGATAATAATGATTATAATAATTATAATAATTATAATTTATACCAATTTTAGTTGTGCAAGTGTAATCCCGTCTTTTGGCTCTAACTGTGTTCCAGTGTCCTCAGCGTTCCACTTTTGTGTTTACGTTCCACTTTGTCTTTGTCTTTCTATTACGGTCTCTTCTTTGCCTTCACCTTTATGCCTCATTCAGCTCCAGTTCCAACTTTAGATCCACTTCTAATTCCAATTCCAGTTCCAACTTTCAAGCTCCAGCTTAAAATGAATTATTTAGCTGAGCATAAAAGGTATTAGTTGCCGCTACAGTTCCAGTTCCAGCTGCAGTTCCAGCGTCAGTTCCGAATTTATCAGCTTTGTCTTTTAGTGCTGCCATCAGTTTTATTATGAACTTCATCGGCTTTGCTGCGCACGGCAACATTTCAAGAAGAAACAAAAAAAAAAAAGAAAATTATATTTTTCATACGCCTCGTGTGCAGGCAGAGCCTTTGTTTTTATGTTTGTTATTGATGTTGTTGCTGTTGTTGATTGTTTGTGTGTTGCTGTTGCTGCTGCTCATGCTTTAGCGCAGCTTTGTTTACAATTTATTTTGTCATGTGTCGAAAATTGCAAATTTATGAGTTTTTGATGAGTCTTTTTGTGCCCGTCGCTCGCTCGCTCGCTCGCTCGCAGTTATTTGCTGGTGTTTTCCTTTATGTGGGTCAGCACACACACACACTCGCACACGCATAGGCACACGCATCGAGCATATCCTGGCGCATCCTGCACGCTTTGACTTTTGATTAAATTCGCACGCGCCAAACTATAAATGGCGCGCGGGGCAAAAACAACCAAATAAAGCGACAAAAAAAATTATGAAAAAAAATAAATAAATAAATGAAAAAATTATATAAAGGTGCTGCATATATATACATATATATATATATATATATATATATACAAATATATATATATATATATATATGGACATATGTTTATATGCGCTTATATAGGTTTCCCTCTTCTAGTTTTTGGCTGTGCCACAAATTGCTTTTAAAGCCTTTAAGGCAATTGCTTGTGTGTGTGTGTGTGTGTGTGCAAGGGACACCCTGATTGGCTTGCGCCGGATGTAGTTTATACGCTTTACGCATCCAAAAACTCGACGCCATTTTTTGTTGGCACCTCAGAAGCAATTTGCATAAAAGTCGCCGACGTTAAATTCAAGTGATTGCAAAAACTAATGGTAAGCCACACACACACACACACACATACACACCTAAACACACCCACTCATATGCGGGTCATGCACTCGTGGCCATCGTCAAAGTCATAATGATGTGAATTATTCATTGTTTCTGCTTCAGTTGATGTTTTAATTAAACAGCAAATGCCAAAGGTAAAAAGCAAAACAAGCGACAATAGCGCTTTGCACTGGCATGTTGCCCGCCCAGGTGGCACAGGTGAGAATTGAGCGATGGTGTGGTGTTGCCTCCTCGCGTCAAGTTCGGACATAGCAAGTTGACAGAGGTGGAGCTTAAGTAGTATAGAGGACAGAGATGGAGATAGGCAGAGAGAGGGAGAGAGAGAGAAAGAGACAGAGAATGTGAAACTGAAAAGGAAAGAAGGAAGAAAAGAGAGAAGTTCCTGAGTATCGCACAGAGTGAGCGAGAGAACACCAGAAACAGATCATGAGAATCGCATAGAAAGGCCCTGAACCAGCCAAGCCATGCAGGGTATAGCATATTCGAGCATATTCGAGGAACGCATCAAACGAGCTGCGAGCAACTGTAATTCACATAACACTCAAATTTGTGAATGTATCGCAATGAAGTGAGCGCAGAATCAGCGTCGCATAAACTGATAAGCAACTTGCCACATCCGCTCGCTGCACCTTTAAAGAGTGTGGCATGGCTTAAAGCGGAACGTTGCCGCGATGCCAACCATCCGAAAGGCATAAAAAACAGAGACGGCGGCATGGGGCATGTGGTGGGGGGCCGAGGCAACGCCAATTGCCAAGCTGCATTATTTATCGCATTCGCGTTATTTGGATTGTGAGCGCCGGGCAGGGCAGGGGCGTGGGGCTGCAGGGGGTTGCGCGTTCGGTTCGCAGCAAAACAAAATGGCGCCAGTGCCATAATGGCGGTCGTCGTTGGCGTCCTTGTCGCTGGCGCAGCGGATGCTTGGCATTTATTGCAAGCGACAATATTTCGCTGGCTGTGCATCAGCCATCCATGGTGCAGCAGGCACATCCGCTGGCTGGCTGGCTGGCGCATAGATGTGCCTCCTGCTTGCCACATAATGGCGAGCGTGTCATTGTCAGAGCGATCGTGGAACTGCCAGAGGAGGGGCTGCTCTGTGGGATGGCATGCCTGGCCGCAGCTCAGCTATTTGTTTATAATAAAGCGAGCGAATTTTTCACAACACATCGCGACAATGCTGGCAACGACAGCGCTGCCAGCGCCGGCTTAGCGGAATGCGACTGCGGTGCACGCGGCAGAGGTAACATCTTCTCAATTCAATTGGAAGACACTCAGCCGGGCAGGCAGCCAGGCAGCCAGGCAGCCAGGCAGCCAGCTCAGTCAGCTCCATTTCGCCAAGCATCTACTTATTTATTTATGCAAACACATAATTCGTTATTTCGTTATTTCGTTATTTCGTTCGAGCGCCTGGCAATCAGTGAGCGCTGATGTCCTTGCTGTCTTTTGCCTGGCTGTCCTCGGCTGTCCTGCGTTGTGTCATCT